TTCAAATAGTGCAAGAAAGGCTTGTTTTCCCCTCCCCTCTTTAACCCTTTCCACCATAAGTTTAGAGGGCTTTAACGAGAGAAGGTTAGGTCTTCAGGTTTCTATTTCCTTTGTTTATTGAGCCCAATGCTTCGACTATATTCTAAGCTTTAAGTGTCAGAAGCAAGGATCTTGTATACTCTCTGGTAAATTATTGTAAAATTTTTTTTTCTTTTTACAATTGGAAGTGTGTTTTCATATGTTTGTTTAACCTCTCAGACCTCTCTTTTCTCTAGGTCCCACCTAATGAAATTCCATTATTTAGCCTGGAGAATGCTAACCAGCTAATTAACAAATGGCAGAGATAAAGGCATTTCCTGTATTAGATATTGCCGCAATAACGCTGTGTAACAAACCACAGTAAATTTCATGGGCTTCCAAGTATTTTTTCTCTTGCTCACAGATCTGCTGCTGATCTAGGATGGATCAGGATAGGCTGGGTAGTCTGTGGTAAGGCTTCAGGTAGACAGGGCTTGACTCTGGGCTACAAGGTAGGCTCTTTTCTGCCCTGCTTGTGTTCTGAGCACCAAGATAAAGCCACAGCATCAACTTAGGGCAAACTTCTCTTGGTGGAGCACAAGATCCAAGGTGTATCAGTCAAGGTTTGATCAGAGAAGCAGAACCACTAGGCGATAAATATGGTAAAGGGTTTATTACAGGGATTTGGCCTTACACTACTCCGGGAGTTGGTTAAACAGTCTGTGAGCCTCTTTTGATGTGTGTGGTCCTGGAGTCTGAAGTCAACAGAGTAGGCAGTCAGGAGGGGAAGATGGATGTGAAGTGGGAGAAACAAGGACAAGCTGCAAGCTAGAAGACATATCAGTCTCTCATCACATCCAGTTCTCCAACTTTGATAATGGGGGTGTCTGCCAGGAAAATTTGGGGCTCTTGATGGAATTAAACAACTGCCTGGCCCATGAATCAGAGAAACTGAAGCTGGAAGATGCGGCAGATGAAGCAGTAGATAGACAGTGTAAGCTGTAACGATGCTTCATGTCCTGCACTGACCTCCTGAGCCTAAAGGAATACGGCAACTGCTTCGTTTCTGCCTTCCAAATCTCCAATGTCTCTTGTGACCCAGACTAATAAAGAGCTATGCAAGGAAAAGAATTCGTGGGAATATAGTTCTGGCTTAGCTAAGATGACACAATATAAATCTAAGCACATTTAAGGCCTTTGCTTATTTCACTAACATTCCATTGGCCAAAGCAAGGTCCATGCCCACTCCCACATCAACCAACCGGGAACTATACTCTTCCCACAGTGGAAGCAAGGAAATGAATATTTGCTGCCCAGTAATCCAAACTATCATTTCCTTTCCTCTTTAGCTAATGAAAAGCAGATATTATTCTGAAGCACAAGGCTAGTTTTAGGAGGATTCATAGGTGTGTCAGCCAAATTCTCTTGTCCAGCATTGAGACCTGTAGGAAGCTATGAGGGGAGGAAGCAGTTCCTGGAACCCAGAGATAAGATATGGCTACTTGACAGACTTAGGAGAGGAATACAGCCAACCTAAAGCAACCTTGGAGGGAGGCAGCTAGAGGAAGACCTGCCTTGACCTCACTCTCTTCCCACTCTCCAATTTCCTGGACCTCCTGTTGGCTGTGGGTCTGTTTCTATGGGGGCTGGTAGTGGTGGAAGGGAAAGGGATAAAAACTTTTAGAGACTGAGTCTGAGGTGCCAGCAGGACATCCTAGTGGACATTTCCACCAGAAATGATACAATAACTGATACAATACCAAAATCCTATTTATCCTTAAAGTCCCACAAATGCCCACCTTCTTTATATACTTTCCCAATTCTCCCAGGCAGAATTGTTTCTTGATTTGTGTTCATCTGTCTTTCTTAATAGATTATAAATTCATCAAGTTTGAATCCATGTTTTATTTACATTTTGTATATACCTTTAAAATGCATGACATATGAATGCCATAACCATTCTTTAAACACATAATATCTTCAGAAATGTGTACTAGCCAAGTCACTATGGAGAGAGCTCTAAGGTTAGGAAAGCCCACAAAGGTCAAATTATTGACATTTACAATATGTTTTTACTATTTTTAAACTAAATCAAGAAATATCCGATTTTTTAAATTTCCTCTTTTTTTACATGTTTTTTACAAACAACCTATCAAAAAGGTCAAGGATGACTTCCCCTTGTTTCTGTTTAGTTTTCTCTGCCATTAAATAAAACGCTCTTCTAAAGTAGTCATTCTTGAGATAAGCAAATTCAAATGTCTCTAGGGCGCAGATAGATAATGAAGCTGGAGGGTGGAGACTGGAATGAACTGGAGAGCGCATCTACAGAGGTCTGGCCCAGTGACACCAGATCTTAATTTTTCAAAATAATATGGAAATCCAGATTTTTACATAAAGTGTCTACATTTTTTAAGTTGGCAACTAATTCAATTCTTAAAAACAATGAATGAGCTACACAAAAGTCTGCCAAATGTATCTGATCCTTAGGATGCCAGTTTTCATCTCTGGCATAGTTCCCACTTTCAGAAAAGCTCAGCGTATCAACACACCTCTTGGGAGAGTTCATCCAGTTGGTTGAAAATTCCTCAAATGTACAAGTTTTCAAATGTACAAGTATTCTGTGAAAGTCTATATTTTAAATTTCAAGCTACCTAACTTCAGGGAGATTTAATGTTCTATCCACTTTTCTCTTATTTTTGTCATAGATGTTTCTTGACTGTTCCCTCTGGCCTGTAGACTTCAACCGCACCAGTACTTCTTACCTGAGCCTTGAAACAAGGCAAAACAAAATAAGTGCTTTGACGGCAGTAGAGGTGAACAATTAGCACCTCCAGAGTTTTCATGGTTGATATTTATTTGTACTATTCCCATAAAAATATGAATATAGTGAAATACCCAACTTTTATAAACTTTCTAATTTCTCAAGTCCTCCTAATAGTGAAAAGCATATTTTATTCAAAGTCAAAAGAGAAGACAACAGTAAAGTTTCTTAGACTGTCTAGTCCAAAGACTGAAAAGATAAACGAAAACATAATGAGGACACAAGCATCCAGATGACTACTGTGGTCAGTGAGGGAGCTGAGCTTGAAGTATCTAGGGGTTTTTAGCATGAGAAAGGCAGAAGGGTGAAGCATTACAGATGTACCTGATGTCTCTTTAGTCTCACTATCAATATGTGATCAAGTCCACCTGGAGCGCTGGATGGTCAAAGGTATTTCTGGGTTTTTTTTCCCTAGAGGTAAACAGGAGGAGAGATGTTTATCACTGAGATTTCAAAAGAAAAAGAGGACATATGAATAAAGAGTAGCGTTGAGGATAACAATATACGTGATAACTTTCCTAAAAACTATGCTTCTTCCATAAGTTGACAGCGTGAGCAGTAAGGCCTAAAATTTCATGTTCTGCCCTGACATCTTTGAGCCTCACAGGGACCCAAAGGCTCAACCATGAGTTCCTCTGCTCTTGTCAGATATGCCTCCCACCCAGCGGGAAACGACCCTCACCTGGCTAGCTCCCCATCAGCTGGACTAGCTGCACTCCTGGCCCTCAACCTTACAGGTCTGACCTCCTTGCCTGCCCAGGAAATTATTCAAACAAACCAATTACATCCTCCTGAGGAAACTAGGGATCACCTCATCATCTCATTACTAAAAAGCCTGAATCTCAAAACCCCTATTTATTCACTGTGCTCCTGAGTGGCCCTATGTGGTGTGCTGTCCTCCTCCCCTGGCTGTGAGTATAAGTGACTAATAAACTGTTGTCAATCCCATGTGTCCGGTGTTGAGTGTCATGTGTTCGGCCATCCTCAGAATCCTAGGGTAGGACTCCCTCCCTCACCAATAGGGTGAAAGGGAGGTGAACAAACAGCAAGCTGCGTCACTGAGCAGTCATTTTTAAACTTAACTTACCAGCTTACCCCTCATATAATTTTTAAAATAGCATCACTTTTCCCACTCATTCTGATAAGTTCTCCTTTGCGTAGTATGCACAGTAATAGTCTCAGTGGGCCTCTGTTCAAAATCTGAGAGAAACTGTATCATCTGGATATTCAGGGTTTTTGACGACAGTCATTTCAAAAAGCAAAAGTGTGAAGGACCACAAAGGAGAAGGATCAAAAGAAAGGAGAAGAAATAGCAGCATCTACAGCTGAGTCAGGCCAATACGTGAGCAGTTTGCTCCACTGACAATGGACTGGAAGCTCCAGTTCCCAGCTCCTTTCAATCTGATGTTTGAGATCACTCTCCTAGTTTGACAACCTAGAATAACAATGGGAACGGAGATGCCACATCCCTGATTTCTTGAATTTGCTACACAGTGATAGGGTCTGTATTCAGCATAGCTTTCTAAAGAGTTCAGTAGTGCCTGATTTATGATTAACGGCCTTACAATTAGAATAGAGACACAGACTCCTGCCCTCTGTGGATTATCTGATGACGAACAAGGCTTGACCACTGAATGAAGGCTCGTCCACATTCCTCACACTGATGGGGCTTCTCCCCAGTGTGGATCCTCAGGTGCTGAGTAAGCCTGGTGCTCCCTCAGAAAGCTTTCCCTCATTCCTTACATGTATAGGGTTTCTCTCTAGTGTGACTTCTCTGATGTTCCATGAGTCCTGACCTCTGACTGAAGGCCCTCTCACACTGATTACATTTGAAGGGTTTCTCTCCAGTGTGGATTCTCAGATGTCCAATAAGGTGAGAACTTTGACTAAAGGATTTACCACACTCTTTACACCCATAGGGCCTCTTACCAGTATGGATCCTCTGATGAAGAACCAGGCCTGTGTTTTGACTGAAGGCTTTCCCACATTCATTATACTGATAATGTTTATTTTATTATGAATTTCTTGGTGTGAAAGAAGGGCTGCTTTATCACTGACAGCTTTTCCACACTGATTACATTTATAAGGTTTCTCCCCAGTGTGAATTGCCCAGTGCCCGATAAGCCCTGAGCTCTGAGCAAAGCCCTTCCCACACTCCTTACATTTGTGTTGTTTTCCTCTTGTAGGGTTGACCTTTTGCTGTTCTGATTTACTCTCATATTGAAAAGTTTCTCCACACCTTGTATACTGGGACACATCCAAGGAATTCCTTTCTGCAGAAATCTGCTTTGGAGCCAACTCACCAGCCATGTTCCTGGTCTCACCTGCTGTGAGAGAGCATGGCAGTTATTTAAATGTCACATGTCCCACATGAGGTCTTGATGACAGATTAGTAATAATAATTAATAACATTACTGAATGCTTTACTAATATCAGGGGTTGTGCTAAATAATTAAGAACTATCACCCTAATGGTTTTTGCCTATGAGTCATAGAGAACAAAAATAAATAAATAAAAGGATTTGGGCCCCCGCCCAGATCTAAAAACTCAGAATGGCAGGAAAGAAATGAAAACTTCCCAGGAGTCTTCAAGGGTCCCCAATTAACATATCTTCCAGTATTCATCCCTTGTGTAGTCCATTCCCCTCCCACAGAGTATCTAGGCTGGCCTATGACTTGCTTTATCGAACAGAATGTGTTGGAAGTGATGCTGTGTCAGTTCAAGGACTAAGACTTTTAAAAGGTGCTTTTGTGCTTTTAAGATCCCTGAGTTATCCTGTAAGACGTCTGGTTACCCTGCTAGAAAGATTATAGAGGGAGTGAGAGAATGAGAACTGGATGCCCATCCATCTCAGAGTCTCACTAAGCCTAGTTTTCCAGCCCTCTCTTGCTAAGGTATGAGACATGTGAGTAAAGCATCTTGAGCATCATAGGCCAGGCAAGCCCCCAGATAGCTACAGCTCAAACTGATATCATGTGCAGCAGCAGAACCACCCTGCTTATTCTAGTCAACCCACAGAACTGTGAGAGATAATATCATGGTTGTTCCTTTCAGCCACTAAGTTTTGGGGTGGTTTGTTACAATAGAAATAGAGAGATAAAACACCAAGTGATCAGCCAGATTTTGGTGATGCTCACAGCAACACTGTGAGCTGGGTAACAGATATGGAACCTGGAAGTTAGAAATTAAATAACTGGCCTGTGATCACATGGCTAGTAGGTGGTAAAGCCTGGCCTGGAACCCATCTATTTGAATCCAAAGCCTGTCCTCTTTATTTTTACTAAAAAAGATATAGATACTCATGGTAAGAATTTCAACAGTACAAAAGGTATAAAAGCAAAAAAGTCCAAATTCACCTTTCTCCATCACCCTGTATCCTCCTGTTCCTTTCCCAGAGGTAATCGCTGTAGCTTTGTTGCCCATGTAATGAATCTCCTGCTTCAATCCAGTGGCTGTCAACCTCTGACTGTATTTATCAGGAATTTTTTTCTCCCAATATTTTCACACAAGTGATAAAAGATTTTTAACATAAAGACACCCACTGAAGCATTGTTTATAATAAAAAAAATACTGGAAACAGCCTAAATGTACATCAGTAGGAGACTAGTTAATTAATTACAATATACGGATACAACAGAAAACTAAACACCTATCAAAAAGAATGAAGTAACTCTATTGATAAGAATAATATTATTTAGGGGCCGGCCCGGTGGAGCAGTGGTTAAGTTCACATGTTCCGATTCTCGGCAGCCCGGGGTTTGTCCGTTCAGATCTCAGGTGTGGACATGGCGCCACTTGGCAAGCCATGCTGAGGTAGGCATCCCATGTATAAACTAGAGGAAGATGGGCATGAATGTTAGCTCAGGGCCAGTCTTCCTCAGGAAAAAGAGGAGGGTTGGAAGTGGTTAGCTCAGGGCTAATCTTCCTCAAAGAAAAAAAGAAGAAGAATATTATTTCTTCCTTTTGTATGTAGGCCACAAACACCCACTGCAACTGAACAAAGGAACTAAGACTGTGGTATCCAGTGATTTAACTAGAATTTAAGTTGCATGAGGGTAGAGACTTTGACTATCTTGTTCACCACTGTATTCCCAGTGCTTAGATTACTACTGGACACATAGTTGATGCTCAATAAATATTTGTTGCATGAATGAATAATGTCCTGAATATTATCATTAGGTAAAAAAAGCAAAATGCAAAGTGTATGTATAGTATGTGTGCTAAAATGTACCAAGGATTTGTTTTAATCACATATAGTAAGACAGGCAGACATGGAAATGACTATCAAGAAGAAGTTCTTTATATTCACAGATACCTAAGAACAGGAGGCATGACATGCCATGAAGGGCCATGTGAGAAAGCACAAGGCCCATCAGGAGGCAGAAGGGCAAGAGGGGAGAGCATAGTCTAGAGCCTTTATTGGAGTTTTCCCAGGCAGGGAAGAGCAAGACAAGGTAGGTATGCTGAGTAAGCTTAGGATTGGATAGTTTGAATAATTCTGTCAGGCTCTGGGCTATAGAGATGGTCCCTAGCTGTCCAGTACCTGGCCCTAGGGTGATTGAGGGCAGGGGGAATACTGGCATGGTGTGTGAGAGTTTGATAAAGGAGATGGTTAGGGGAGTGGGCTCTGGACTGGTTGGTTTGTATATGAAAGGTGTACTCCCAGGGGAGCCCTCTGCTATCTCTAGGAGTTAGCTAGCCCTGGGAAGCGCAGTCTCTCCAGGATCAAGGTTCCAAATGCCAGAGCATCAAGAATATAGAAAACAAGAAAATATGGTCAATACAGTATGATACCATTTGCCCTAAAAAGGGAAGAGGGACTTCAGTATGTACAGAAAAGTTCTAGAAATATATATTAGAGTATGTTAACAGTGGTTAACTCGGGAATGGCACTTTTATTTTCATTTTAAAACTTTCTATACTACTTGAATTTTTAAATGTAAGCTACCATTATTGTCCCATAATAATAGCACTTTTAATAACTAGTTAAAAAAATATAATACCAGGGCCCATTGCAGTAAATCCATGGTAGATCTGGGCACCTGTATTTTTAAAACAGCTCCCTGTGACTTTTCAGTCAGAGTTGTTAAACCACTATCATAACAGAATTTAAAAAAATATCAGAAATCCCAATTCAAAATTAAGTCAACTCTGGATATGCTCACTTTGTAAATAACCTTTTGGTGTTAAATTTAGTCTGCTATCCCCAGATAGCACTTTTCTCGCCAGAAATACTGCTTTCTAGCAGACACTGCAGACTCTGTTTCCGAAAGACCACAAGGACTCACGTGTTAAGGCCCACCATTCTCTTGCAGAGGACTATGCTTCCAAGGATCACACTTTAGTTGGACAGTCAGTGACTGATCGGCAAGGCTTACAGGTCCTATTGCCTTCCACAGCACTTCTTGTTTGTAGTGTGCATTGGCTTGTACCTAAGGACACACAAGTAGAGCTGGGTTTATGAAAGGATCAGAAATATGGCATGAGCTAAAACGTCAAAAGAAAATTTCCTATGGGCACAGGAAGCAGAATGAAGAAATCAACTCACAAAAGAAATAAGCAGCGTAGCTTCAAAGAAAAAACAGAAAGACAATACTTCAGCTCAACAAATAATGGTCATAAAATCCTCTTGCTTACACTCTCTTTGCTGGCAGACCCTTGGTGCTCTCATAAAGGAACAATGGATTACCCTTTTCCCACCTGTTGTCCTTTATCTCCAAGTGCTGTCTCCAGATTCTCCAGCACAGTCACCACATCATCTCCGCTCCGGTGATGATATCCCCACACCCTGGCCTGGAGCTCCGTGGGCAGGATGATCAGGAGCTGCTCCTTGGTGTGCATCTCAGGCTGTAGCCACTTTCGGCAGAGCTTCCGAAGCTGGTTCAGAGCCTCTCGAGGTCCAGGGGCCTCCTGGTAACAGAAGTGTCTGAAGCGCTGGTGGACAAGTTCCTGATAAGGGTCCACATTCCCTGGAAGTCCAGTCTTCTGTTCCCAAGCATGGTCCTCCTCTTCCTCCACTCTCACTATACTCAGACCCGCCTCCTCCTCTGGAGTGTGGACTACAGGAGTCAAGGTTGCATCTTCTCTCAACTTGGTGGACATCTTGCATTCACTGGCTGGGGATAGGATTCACTTGTCTTATATCCCAGGAGTCTTGAAGAATCTTAGGATCAGAGCACTCCTGTGGGAGGAGAACCCACTACTGAAACAGCAAAATAACCAGAGCAGTCAAGAACCTGTATTACCGGTAATGAAGACTCAGCACCATGGTGATAATATTCCTAAGTAGTGTAGTAGCAATGTGGTAACATCCACAGCAAGTAAGGATCATTGAGAAAGTGGACTTGGCTGCCAATATATAGAAAATGCTACATAAATAGCAGCATTAGAACTTCTGTTGCTGTGGAAAAGAAGGCCACACCCTCAGGATTTAAAAACTTTTGAGTTTTTAAGAACTGCATTACAGGAAGAAAGAAGAGAAAAGCACATGAGCCAGAGGCTGGGGGCCACCATAGCCCACTTTCCAAGGCTTTCTTTTACGTATATGCATAACCTAGCACCCCTTCACAGAACTCCTTCAGCAGGACAGGATGGGTTTTGGGGCACTCCAGTAGAGAAAAAGAAGGCTTCATGATCCTTAGCAAGGTAAGGGAAGGCAGATCTTGTCACCTTAGTAAACTTACTATGATAACATACACATCAGCAGTCATAGAATTCTCCAGTGAAACCTTTATGACTTTTAAAGGAATCATACTATTTATCCAGGGGGTAATACACTAAAGATCCATAAAGTGGTCATTGTGTTCATTCAGGGAGTAAAGTATTAAGCACCTGTCATTTGAGACATTTCCCGCCCCCCCCCCCCCATTGTTGTGTAGTGCTGTCGTGACAGGAAAGAACTAGAATTGTCAAGCAAAATCCGAGTCTAGTTTATTTTATACTATGACAAAATAACAGTGATAAATCCAAAACGAAGAGAGGGCCAAATCATCACTGCAGCTCGTTATCAATCATTGCGTGCACGTGTTGGGGGGAGGATAGGACACCCAAGCCGCAGAGACCCTTCCCTCCCCACCCCAACTCTGCCGGGACAGACAACAGAGATGGCGCGTTACGCAGCCTGCCTGGGAAGAAGCCCGAACCGCTCACCCGGAGCTCTGGGGATGGCTGGTGTTCCCTGAAGACGACCTCTGGTGGTAATAACAAAGTGAAAAGCTGAAGCCACCATGGCCTGGAGTCAAGCACGAGCCCACGACGCGCAGAGCCAAAGACCCCTGGACCCTGAGTTACTTCCTGTGTCCGCCTAGGAATCCGGAGGCTCGGTCCTCTCTATGATCCTCGGTACTACGGCCCTGGCTTTGTTTTCCCCTCTGGGTGCATCCAGGGCAGGCAGAGCACCTCGTGCTGTGGCGTTTGGTTCTTTATTCCTCTCTCTGCCTCTACGTTCCCTTGAGGAACTCTGAGCCTCTCCGTAAAGTTGAATTCACCCCCCAGCTTGCTAAGACTCACAGTGCTCTAGGCATTAGCTCTGAGCCCTTTGTGTAGTGTATTTATTGTTGATGAGTGGAACCTCTTTTTACATTCTAGATATGAGCTCTTTGTTATATGAACACCGAATATGATGGGTGTTCCCTTTTCACTCTCTTAATGATGTCTTTTGCTGTAGTAGCTTTTTTTTTTTTTTTTTTACTAGTAGACCTAATTTTTTAAGAGCAGTTTTAGGCTTACCAAAAAAAGTGGAAAAAACTCCCACACGTTGTAATTGGAATCAGAATCACAGTGTCTTTCAACAAACTGGTACAATTCATCTAAATTATCAAATTTGTGGGCATAGAGTTGTTTGTAATATTCCTTTATTATCCTTTTAATGTCTATGGAGTCCATAGTGATGGCCCTCTTTGATTTCTGATACTAGTGAAATAGGTAAAGAGTTAGCCATTGATGATTAGGTAGCTAGGAACTAAAGGTTTTTTCCCTTTTTGCAATTACTGATTACAGCTTTTAGCTGTTTAACCCATCCATTTTTAACTGTGCTGTTTAGGCACTATGCTATCTGACTCCCACTGGGTTCCTATAGATAAGATCTCTGGCACCTGGGTCACCATGGTAATGGGTGTTTGAGCTGTTTCTCAGGAATCACAACCCCTTTATCCACTCCAGGCTGGTTGAGACTGCCAACTCATCAAGTGGATCCATGCAAATGTCCCACAGGCAACCTTTTGACCTCAAGAAGTTAAAAACTCTACCCACAGATCATGCTTACATGCCATTTTGGGAGCCTGTGTCCTCTGAAGTGGCATGGCGTCTGACTATGCTTGGGCACTTCATCAATTACCTCACCTCTCCTCACCTCCAATCACCTATCTCCACGTTTCAGACCACCTTGCCTCCCAATCCCATAAATATCCCCGAGTCCCTATTTTTGGGGAAGGAGATTTGAGACTCACACTCCCGCTTCCCCACATGGCTGCCTTGTGATTAAACTCTCTCTCTCTCTGCAATCCTGTCATCTCAGTGTTTGGCTTTCTGGGGGTGAGGCAAAAACAGCCTGGCACCGTAACTCTAGTAATTTGTGTCTTCTCTTTTTTTTCCTAGTTAACCTGGCTCGAGGTTTATCAATTTTACTGATCTTTTCAAAGAAGCAGCTTTTGGTGTCATTGAGTTTATTGGATTCTTGTTTTCAATTTCATTGCCTTCTGCTCTAATTTTTATTAGTTATTTTCTTTTGCTTACTTTGGATTTCATTTGCTCTTCGTTTGCTGGTTTCCTAAGGTGGAGGCTTACATTACTGATTTGAGATCTTTTTCTTTTCTAATGTATTCATTCAATGCTATAAATTTCCCTCTAAGCAATGTTTTTGCTGCATCCTACAAATTTTGATGTTTTCATTTAGTTCAAAGCATTTAAAAATTTCTTGAGATTTCCTTGACCCTTGTGTTATTTAGAAGTATGTTGTTTAATCTCTAAATATTTTGGGAGTTTCCAGCTATCTTTCTGTTACTAATTTCTGGTTTAAATCCATTGTGGTCTGGAAGCATATTTAGTATGATTTCTATTTTAAATTTGTTAAGGTATGTTTTATGGCCCAGAATGTGGTTTATCTTGGTGAATGTTCCATAGGAGCTTGAGAGATACGTGTATTCTGCTGTTGTTGGATGAAATATTCTATAGATATCAACTACAACCAGCTGATTGATGGTGTTATTGAGTTCAACTATGTCTTTACTGGTTTTCTGCCAGCTGGACTGTCAATTACCAATACAGGGATGTTAAGGTCTCCAACTCCAGTAGTGCGTTATCTATTTCTCCTTGCAGTTCTATCAGTTTTTGCCTCATGTTTTTTGACACTCTCGTTAGGTGCATACGCATCAAAGATTGTTAAGTGTTCTTGACTTCCTTATCATTATGTAAAGCCCCTCTTCATCCCTGATAGTTTTTCTTGCTCTGAAGCTGACTTTGCCTGAAATTCATTAGTTACTCCAGCTTTCTTTTGATGAATGTTAGCATGAAACATCTTTCTATATCTCCTTCCTTTTAATCTATGTCTTTAAAGAGGGCTTCTTGTAGAGAACATACAGTTCAGTCTTGTTTTTGTTTGTTTGTTTTAATTCATTCTAACAGTCTCTGTCTTTTAATTGGTATATTTAGACCACTGATGTTTAAAGTGATTATTGATACAACTGGATTAATGCCTACCATATTTTCATTACTATTTTCTATTCATGGCTCTTGTTGTTTGTTTGTATTTTTATCTTCCACTCTTTTTCTTTCTTTTTGTGGTTTTAATTGAGCATTTTATATGATTACATTCCTCCTCTCTTAGCATATTAATTATGTTTTTTCTTTTTTCAGGTCTCACAGTTCTTGGACATTCTGTTCTATCCTTTTCTTTTTTTCACCTTGCATTTCAGTTTTGGAAGTTTCTGTTGACATTTCTTGAAGCTCATTGGTTCTATCTTTGGCCTTGTCCAGTCTACCGATGAGCCCATGAAAAGCATTCTTCATTTCTGTCAAAGTGTTTTTGATTTCTATCATTTCCTTTTCATTATTTCTTAGAGTTTCCATCTCGCTGCTTACATTACCAGTCTGTTCTTGCATGTTGTCCACTTTTCCCATTAGAGCCCTTAGCATATTAACTATAGTTATTTTAAAGTTCCAGTCTGCTAATTCCAACATCTCTGCCATATCTGAGTCTGGTTTTGATTATTGCTCTGCCTCTTCTAACTGTGGCTTTTGTCTTTTAATATGCCTTGTAATTTTCTTTTTTGAAAGCCAGATATACTATACTGGGTACAAGGAACTGAGGTAAATAGGCCTTTAGTGTGGGGTTTTATGTTTTTGTAGGTTAGAATTAGGCTGTATTTATTATTTGCTGTAGCTGTAGGTGTCAGAGGCTAAAATTTGCACTGGTGTCCTTGTTTCTGTCTTACCCTTTTGAGTTTCCTTATAGACTTCTTAAATAGCTCTAAGATGTGTAATTCTTCCAGTTATGTTCCCCTCTTGTTATAGAGGATCCCTGTTGATGTGGTGGTAAGGTATGGGGAGAGGAGAAGTGTTCTACAGTCCTATGTCTTGGTTTCAGTCTTTCAGTGAGCCCGTAGCCTTGGACTGTGACCTTCACAAGTTCTTAGTTTTTATTCTTCTTTCACTCCTTAGGTGAGAGAGGAAGTCTAGAGAAGGCTGGACTTGGTATTTCTATTCCCCCACATGAAAGGATAAGAGGGGACTAGAATTGAGTGTTTCCTTCCCCTTTGTGAAATGAATAGATTTTAATATTTTTTATTGAGATATAAATCACTTGCCATAAAATTCACCCTTTTAAAGTGTAATAGTCAGTGTTTTTTTTGTATCTTTAGAAATTTGTACTATCATCACCATTATCTAATTCTAGAACATTTTATCAGCCCAAAATAAAGAATAAAACACCATTAGCAGTCACTTCCCATTCCCCTAGTCCTTGCGAACCACTAATCCATTTTCTGTCTCAATGGATTTGCCTATTTTGGACATTTCATAAAAATGGAATCATACACTGTATGGCCTTTTTTGTCTGGCTTCTTTCACTTAAAATGTTTTCAAGGTCCATCCATGTTATAGCAAATATAAATACTCCATTCCTTTTTATGGCTGAATAATATTCCATTGTAAGATTATATCACATTTTATTTATTCTTTCATCCATTGATGGAAATTTGGATTGTTTCCACATTTTGGCTATTGTGAATAGTACTGCTATGACTGTTTATGTACAAGTTTTTATTTGAACGCCTGTTTTCAACTTTTTTTGATATACACAGGAGCGGCATTGCTGGATTTTATGGCAACTCTATGTTTACGTTTTTGAGGAACTGCCAAACTGTTTTCCAAAGTGGCTATGCCATTTTATATTCCCACCAGCAAAGTAGGAGGGCTCCAAATTCTCCATATCCTTGTTAACGCTTGCTACTTTCTGATTTTTTGATTATAGCCATCTTAGTGTGTTTGACATGGTATCTCATGGTTTTGATTTGCATTTTCCTAATGTAAAATGATGCTGAACATCTTTTCTTGCACTTATTGTCCATTTGTTTATCTTCTTGGAAGAAATGTCTATTCAAATTCTTTGCCCTTTTTTTTTTTTTTTTTTAAAGATTTTATTTTTTCCTTTTTCTCCCCAAAGCCCCCCGGTACATAGTTGTATATTCTTCATTGTGGGTCCTTCTAGTTGTGGCATGTGGGACGCTGCCTCAGCGTGGTTTGATGAGCAGTGCCATGTCCGTGCCCAGGATTTGAACCAACGAAACACTGGGCCGCCTGCAGCGGAGCGCACAGACTTAACCACTCGGCCACGGGGCCAGCCCCTCTTTGCCCATTTTTTAAAAATTTTATCTTTTTCTCCCCAAAGCCCCTGGTACATAGTTGTGTATTTCTAGTTGTGGGTCCTTCCAGTTGTGGCATGTGGAATGCCACCTCAGCATGGCTTGATGAACGGTGCCACGTCCGCGCCCAGGATTCGAACCAGTGAAACCCTAGGCTGCAGGAGCGGAGCACACAAACTTAACCACTTGGCCACGGGGCCGGCCCCTGCCCATTTTTAAGTTGGGTTGTTTGTCTTTTTGTTGCTGAGTTGTTATTCTGGATGCTAGACCCTTATCAGATACATGATTTGCAAATATTTTCTCCCATTCCATGGGAGAAAATTTCACTTTGTTGATGGTGTTCTTTGAAGCACAAAAGTTTTTAATTTGGATGAAGTTCAATTTCTCTATGTTTAATTTGGTTTCTTGAGCTTCTAATATTATCTAAGAAATCATTGCCCACTCCAAGGTCACAAATATTTACACCCGTTTTCTCCCAAATGTTTTAAAATTCAACTCTTACCCTTAGGTCTTTGATCCACTTTGAGTTAGTTTTTTCCTATGGTGTTAGGTAGGGGTTCAAATTCATTCTTTTGCATATAGCTACCCAGTTGTCCCAGGACCATTTCTTGAAAAGACTACCTTCCCCCATTGAATCATCTTGACACCTTGTCAAAAAACGATTGACTGTCGGGGCTAGCCTTGTGGCGCAGAGGTTAAGTTAGCACATTCTGCTTCGGTGGCTTGGGGTTTGCCAGTTTGGATCCTGAGTGCAGACCTACGGCTACCTGTCAAGCCATGCTGTGGCAGGTGTCCCACACATAAAGTAGAGAAAGATGGGCACAGATGTCAGCTCAGGGCCAGTCTTCCTCAGCAAAAAGAGGAGGACTGGCAGCAGATGTTAGCTCAGGGCTAATCTTCCTAAAAAATAAATAAATAAAAAACAATTGACTATAAATGTGTAAGTTAATTTCTAGACATTCATTTCTATTTCACTGAGCCACATGTTTATCTTTATGCCAGCACTATAGTTGTGATTACTGAAGCCTTGTAGTGTTAAAAAAGAATATTCAATGATGCTTGTTAAAGGTGGTAAGGCAGATTGTATTCAGGACCACTGCAATGGGATTTTACATTGGTGGAGGAAGATTGGGCTCAACTTGGAATAGCAAGGGCAAGTGGGAATTTATAGCCAGGAAGCAGGGTGGGGGCCAGTGGAAGGAAAATTACTATGAGGAAACAGAGAGAAGGAGGGTTCTGGCTAAACTGACCTATCAGGATTCTTGCTGAAGACAGGCCAGGGTGATCAGACATCACTTGGGAGATGATGAAGGATGAGAAACCTGATCAGGTGTTGAGAGTGATCAGACATTGAGGGTGGGAGGTTCTGGTTACACTGACTTTGCAGAGTTCTTGCTAAAGCTAGATTTGTCAAGCAAGTGCACAGATGTGCCTAGGAGAATGTTCAGGAGGCTGACTAAAATTTGCCCAAGGAAAGAATCTTTTTCAGTAGGAAGTTTTGAAATCAAGAAGTGTGATTCCTCTGACTTTTTTCTTATTTTTCAAGATTGCTATGGCTAATCTTGGTCTCTTACATTTCCATATGAAATTTTAAGATCAGTTTTTCAATTTTTGGGGAACAAAAAGGCAGCTGGAATTTTGAAGGAGATTGAACTGAACCTTTACATCAATTTGGGAATATTGCAATCTTAACAATATTAAATCTTGCAATCCATTCACATGAGATGTGTTACCATTTATTTAGGCATTCCCCAATTTCTCTTAGCAATGTTTTGTAGTTTTTAGTTGTAAGGGTAAATATAAACCTAAAAATAAAATATTTAATATTCCCCAGTGCAAAAAAGAGATCCACCCCCCCTTATCTTAGAGCATTTTATTTAGAAAACTTGTAGAATTGTAAAATCTTTCTCTGTCTCTTAGAGGGATGTAAATCATTTTAAAAGCTAAATAAGACTCTCCTAGTTTAACACCCAGGAATGTTTTTCTTAATGGCCTGGGCTCCACCTCTTTGAAATGTAAACATTAGGAAGACAGCACCCCTATCTCATTTCCCTTTCCAAACCCTCACCCTTCCCCACTTGGTGGTAGTTAACTAGATGCCTGGCTCCACATTATAAGTACTTGCTTGTTATAAACATGAGAAGTTTTCTTTTTCATTTGGATAAAGGCAATTAGCTAACACGGATGACCACTCAATTGTCAAATAAAGGCTTGTCAAATAAAGACAAGCCTGGAGAGTGGGATCTTCCAGGGAACCATCAGACAGGTCAAATAATGACAATTTGGGAATGGTGCTTTGAAGGCACTCCAACACTGTTGTGTCCCTCCGGTGGCTGCAGGGTTGCTGGTTTTCATCATGATTGCAGGCTGTAGGTTTTCAGGCTACTGTGGAGCTGAGTGCGGAGAGTGAGGAATGGAAATAGCACAAGTTAAAACACCACAAAGCTCACTATTCTTACTGAGATTTAGTCATTTTTTTCTTGAATAAACATGCGCTGGATTACTGTAAGCTTTTTCTTAATTTCCACAGTTCACAAAAAGTTGATTCTGACATTTTGCCAGTATTCTTGTTGGTTTTATGAAGATTTTCAGAGGTACTAACTCCACCATTTCCACTGATATCACTCACATGATCTGGAAAAATGAAGACTCAAATTATGCATACCAGGAATGAAGAAGAGGAATCAGTACTAATTCTACACATATTGAAAAGATAATACATGGATATTATGAAAACTAGCATGGCAATAAATTTGACAACTTAGGTTAAATGGAAACATTCTTTGAAAGACAAAAACTACCAAGGCTCCTTCAAGAAGAAATAAATTACTTTTGTAAAAAATTAAAGTAATAAAGAGTAAAAATCAAGGAAATAGGAAACAAAAAATAGACAATACAAAAAAGTGAACACTAGTTCTTTAAGAAGATCTATAAAGTGGATAAAGTTGCAAATAGAATTAAGGTTGCTAATCAGCTGACCTTAATAGAGGTAGATTATCTTGTATTATTTGTATGAGCCCAGTATAATCACAAGGGTCCTTAACAGTGGAAGAGGGAGGCCAAAGAAGATGTTGGATATGATGTGAGGACTCAACCTGATGCTGGCTTGAAGATGGAGACATGGGGCCAAAAGCCAAGGAATATATGTGACCCCTAGAAGCTGTAAAAGGCCAGGAAATAAATTCTCTCCGTGAGCTCCACAAAAGGCATGCAACCACGCTGACAGCTCGATTTCAGCCCTGTGAGACTCATTTTGGATTTTTGACTCCCAGAACTGTAAGACAATAAATTTGTGTTCTTTTAAGCTTCTAAGTTCATGATAATCCGTTACCGCAGCAAAAGGAAACTAACATAGCTAAGTATTCCTCAATACTGAGGTAGACTCCTCCTGAGTACTTTACCCAATGCTTTGTGAATTAGAGCATTTTTCAGTCTTGTTGGCAGGATCAGGTACTATTCTCAGTCTTGTGTAATGCTGTGTACTGTTTCCTTTAATTCTTTTGGGTGGTTCTTTCTCTGAGCCAGGGTAGTTTCTTCATGTGATGCCCTGATACTTACTCCTGAAGACTGGAGAGGGACTCTACAGTCTCTGGGGTTCTCCGTACAGCACTTTCTATCATTCTGCCCTGTGAACTATAGCCACCTTGGTCTTTTCAGACTCTCAACTGTATCCTCATCTCAGACAATCTGCCAGTTCCACCTAGGTTCCCTCTCCCTGTGTAACAGTCAAAATCCCCTCATGGCAGTAAGCTGGGGCAATTACAGTATTCATTTCACTTGTTTCCTGCTTTCAGGGATTGCTATCCTACATCACTTGATTTCTAATGTCTTAAAAATGGTTATTCATTAATTTTGTCCAGGTTTTTAGCTTTTATATGGTGGGAGAGAAAATTCAGTCTTTGTTATTCCATCTTTGTCAGAAGTACAATTCAATATATTTTCTAGTTTCCATTGTGATTTCTTTGAGCCTGGATTATTTAGAAGGTCATTCATTGACCAGGTCTAGGAAGGGGGCAGATCTTATGGTAAACTATTACAGGTCCCTTTTCAGCATGAACTGATACCAACCCATGAACAGAACTCCTCAGTCATTCAACAAGCATGTTGGAGGGTCTTCTCTGTGTCAGTCACTATTCTATATGTTAGACACACAAAGGTAAACAAAGTAAATACGGTCTGTTGTTCAATATACCACAAGTTCACTAGGCCTACTCACATTTCTCTCTTTTCTTTTTTTTACAAACGGACAGAAAATTCTGTGAAATGGCTTACCAAACGTAGATATTTATTTGCAGCCTTTCCCAGATCTACTAACACTATAAAAAGTAAAAGCGAGTAAATCTCACAGAAGTGGTATACTTGTTGGGTCCCAGGAATCAATGTGAAAATTATTCTTAGAAAAAACTACTTTAATTAGCATCATGAATTCCAAACAAAAACCAATAAATGTAATAAATAATGTTTGGATTATCCAAGGTTTGATTAGTTATAAAGGCTTCCCCCTACTCTCTACCTTCACTACAGAAAATGAAAAACCGTGCCAAAGAGAGTTAAACGTCCATAGACATCTGGATCTGTTTTAATTCAACTTTGCCCAGGAAGTGACAAGACAAAGTCTCTTTCTAATAAAATGTGTCCTTAGTTCCATAAAATAATACCAGTTAAAGTGATTATATGCAATTGGGTTTTTTCTTAATGGTGATGCTTGATATTGAAAAAGTCCTATACTACCTCTACCACATATCTGACTATTGAGGTTCATTTTTGTTGTGCATCCTCTGATGTTTGGTAAGAGAGTTGTTCATCAAAAGGTTTTCCCACACGTGTCCCAGTCATAAGACTTCTCTCATAAGACTCTCTGATGTTTGATAAGATCTGAACTTTGACTGAAAGCTTCCCCACAGTGGTCACACATACACAGTTTTGTTCCAGTGTGGATTTTCTGATGTATAAGATTGAGCATTTAGTGAAGGCCTTCCTATGTTTTTACATTTATGGGGTTTCTTTCCAGTGTGGGTTTTTTGGTAATTACTAAGTGCTGGCTTCCAAATGAAGGTCTTGCCCCACTCACCACATTCACAATGGTACTTTTCAGCATGGGTTCTTTGGTTGGTGACCAGAGTTGAAACACAATGAACCCTTTACTATACTCTTCACACCCTTGGGTCTTCTTCAGTGCAGATTCTCTAATGTTTAACAAAGCTATCACAGAACTTCAATGCTTTGCCACATTCATGACATAGATAAGGCTCCTGTCCAAAATGAATTTGCTTATGTTTAATGAGACTTGAGCTCACATACAGTCTTCTGATACTGAAGATATCCACAAGGATTCTCTGATGTCTGACAAGATCATTCCAGTACCTGAAGATTTTGCCACATTCTTTACTCTCACGGGAGTCTTCTCCAGGATGGCTCCTCTGTTGTTTAATGGGACTTAGGTATACACTGAAGGTCTTTCCAGGCTCGATACTCATTGGGCTTTCCTCCAGGTTGGATATGCTGGTGTTTATTTAGGGCTGCTGGTGGGTCAGGGTTTGTTTTATAAGGGAGGGATATTTTTGGAACAATGACTTTTCCACTCACTTTACATTGGGGGGCTGCTGCTTTTATTACAGTTGAAATTGAAAATCATGTGCAAGCTGAATGAAGTATTTCCCACTCCCAGAGCATTGACAGGACTGAACTTCAGGGCGAATTTTCCCAGGTGTCTTAGGTCTCTCCCTCAGAGTGATCCTCTCCTTGGCTTGAGGCAATATAGGTTGTGCTTCATCAAAGCAGCTCCTCCCTCACTTGGGCAAACTATTCAGAAGCCCGTGGACTTGTCCAGTGTGGAGCCCCTGAGGAATGTTCCCATTTAGTCCTTAAGGCATCATCCTCTGTGCTGGACTTCTGGAAAACTCTGCTTTGACATGGACTCCTTGTTTAAGGTCTGAATCACCATCTGAAAGAACAAGTTGATTATGCAATTAGCATCTTCTCCCCAGGGGCAGAAAGAGGGAGTCCAAGTATGAGAGTAGCCTACAGAAACTACCTAAAACACAGTTTTTTATATATAAAAGGTCTAAGAAAGAATATATACTTGCTTTTCATTAATTTCTGCTCTTATCTTTAGCATTTTCTTCCTTCTGCTTTTTTGGGTTTATTTTCCTGTTCTTAGTTTTATGTTCTTAAAATTAACATTTAGAGCATCATTTTTTTCCAGCTTTGCTTCTTTTCTAAACATAGTCTATACTTTTAAATGAAATAACTTACCTACGGAGCCTGAAAAAGTACCTGGAACAGAATAGGTCTCAAAAAATAGAAGCTACTACTATTATTAGTATTATCACTAATGTGCAGCAGGAGAAGTAAAAGAGGAGGAAGGCACTGAGGAGGAGACTTGATATTTCTTCAAGATCTCCTGTGAGTGTAACAACACATAAAACAGCAGATTAAATAAGAGGGTCATCACATCAACAAGGCATTTTACTATCTATTTGGAGAAATTATAAAAATCTCAAAGCTAGAAGGGATATCAGAGAATATCTGGCCTGTTTCTCTTGTTTTTAAGGATGTAGAAACAGGCCCAGCTAGGTGGCATTGACCTAGGTAACATGGATACTTAGAGGTAAAGACAGGTTGAGACCAAGGGCTCTTGAATCATACCTTTAAAGTTTCTATCAGCATAATACACTGGCTCTTAAAGCCTACTGTGGTGCATAAACAACCTTCGGATTACAACTTTCATAATACAGCACAGTGGTTAAGAGAACAGGTTGTTGTGTTAGACTTCTGGTTTCAATTCCTGATTCTAACATTTCCTAGCTGTGTGATCTTGGGCAAGTTATTTAATGTCTCTGTTCCTCAATTTCTTCAGCTATAAAATGGGAGTATAGTAGTATGTATCTCATATCATTATTTTTTATTGAGAAAAAAAATATATATAAGGCACTCATAAAAAGCCCTGGCATAGAAAGCATTCCATAAATATTGGCTATCATGGTAGATACACTATATCAATGGTAGATTATACTAATTTTTTTAGTCATTCACTGTATTTTTTGGTAAGAATTATTTTTCCCCACCCTATAGATGATAGTAAGCTTGGTCATTTGACTTGTGTTGGCTAATGAAATGTAAGTGGAAATGCCATATGCTCCTCTCCAGTAGATGCTTTAAAAGTCATCATGTGTTACTACCATTGTTTTTCTTTTACCATAACAGGAGCATATTCAAGGTAGGCATACTCCTCTAGCCTGTATCCTAGAATGGAAAGAATGTGCTGTTGAGCTGAAACTGATCCATAACTGACATGCAACATAAACAAGAATAAATCTTGTACTGTAAGCCACTGAGAGTTTGGGTGGGGGGAGGGGGCTGTTGTTTACATAATAAAAAGCTAGTTGATCGTAATTAGCCTAAAATGACTTCTACAATCTCACACCATTTCAGTGCACTAGGGGCTGCAGAGAATCCATAAGGAATCATACATAATCCCTGCAATCAAAGAACTTGTAATCAAATAAGCAGGATGAGAGGCAAACAAATACAAAGCAAAATGTCAGGTAAGTGTCCTAAGAAAGAAACAACGTGCTATGGGAGGTGGAAGAAGGGAAAAATTGGAAGTGGTAATGGGGAACAGAAGTATATTTGTACATTTGTTTAGCAGATATCAAATGGAGCTCAACCTAAGACTTTTTAATAAATTGGGGAGTCACCAAGTGAGACTTGTTCTAAACATCTTTCAGTCTAATGTGGTCTCTTTTAAGCTTTTTGATAAAGAATTTTGGAATCCCAACTCAGCACCCAAACTGATTGAGAAGATCCAATATTTCTCTCCTGAGGAATAATTGCTTTACTTATACATTCCTCTACTATTCGTGCCCATGCTAGAATGGGTTGGCCTTATGTCTGGGCAAGAATAAAGTTCCGCTACCTATTCATCCATCCACCCCCTAAATCATTACAAAAAGGACCAAAGGTGGCTACATAGAATAGGTGATCATAGGTTCCTGTCAGAGAATTCAGTCAAGAATCTCAACCCAATACTTACCTAATGCTTGCTTAAGGCATTTGAAATTTGAGAGAAGCTACTTGATAATCATTTAACTTTCTATACATTTAGATTCTCTAAGTCTAACCCTTTTATAATTAAGCATGATTATCATATAAAGCAAAACCCTGAATACTGTCTTAGCCACATGCAGAAATGCTTCACTGAGTTAGAAACTTCATGGGAGAATGAACTAAAACTACACTCAACAGCATGGAATGATCTCACAAACATAATGTTGAAAGAAATAAGCCAGGTACCAAAGAGTACAATGTGTATGAAGTTCAAAAACAGGCAAAACTCATCCATGGTATTTAGGAGTCATAACAATGGTGGCCTTTGGAGAAGTAAGAATGGGACGGAGCATAGGCATAAAAGGAGTGTTCTAGAATGCTGGGAATATTCTTTCTTGAGCTGGGTATGGGTTACTCAGGCATGTTCACTTAGTTTAAACTCAAAACTGCTTATAATTTCTGCACTCACAAATACTTATGATTTGTGCACTTTTTATAATTTAATAATAAACTACACAAAAAAGATTTTATGAAATTGTTTCAAGGGTTCACTATGATGCATTTTAAGTGTTTCTCTATTTAAAACTATAGTTGAAGATAACGTACTATTATTCAATATCCTTTACACAGGCACTCAAGCAACATATATTTAGTTGAATTTAGTTCCAGGAAAAAGGTCATCTCTGCAGTCAAATATAACTGCTTTCTTTTGTTAGGCAAATGGAAAACAGTATAAACCAACATATTTTCCATTCTGTCTTAATGGCCAGAAAACTTCAACTTCAGTACTCAACTATTAATTAATTTATCTCAGAGAGGAGAGAAATTTACCATCTGTAGTAGGTTGAATAGTGACCCCTCAAAAAGGAATGTCTACGTCCTAATCCTCAGAACATGTGAATGTGACCTTATTTGAGAAAAGGGTCCCTGCAGATGTAATTAATGATCTCAAGATGAGATCATCTTGGATTATCCAGGTGGGCCTTAAATCCAACAAGTGTCCTTTTAAGTGATAGAAGAGAAGACAGAAAGAGGAAAGTGAAGGCCCACATGAAGACAGTTTTAAGTGATATAACTACAAGATAAGGAATTTCTGGAAGCTCAAAGAAGTCAGAAAGGGTTCTCCCCTGCAGTCTTTGGAGGGAATGTGGCCCTCCTAACACCTTGATTTTGGATTTCTGGCCTTCATAACTGTGTAAGAATAAATTTCTCTTATTTCATGCCAGCAAGTTTGTAGTAATTTGTTATGGCAGCCCCAAGAAACTAATAGATATAATCTATTATATACTAATAGATAATATAATCTATTAGATTATATCTATCTAAGTAGATATAATTTGGATCTGTTTTTATTCCCAAGTGTCCCATTTTCATTGTGAAAGTATGTGTTCCCTAAATCCTTTTTGGAACTGAATATAGTATAAATCTTAAATAAACAAAAAATAAATGTTATGCTTAAGATATACTCAAAAATGAATAATCTATTTAGAAAATCACATAAGTACACAGTAACAGAGTACCAATTGAGTCCCTGAATTCTGAAAAGAGCTTACACAGAATTAAAGCTGTATGGAAAAATACCACAAGATTGCTTGAAAGAATCTAGTATCATAGGCTGAAAGAACAGCACACACAAAGACACACTGAGAAAACTATTATGTACTGGAGATAGAAGCAAAGGAACTAAACTGTGAGAAGCTTGAAAAACTCCATAAATACACATCACAAAACCCATTGGTTAAATGAGTCAATCCTGTTTATTCATGGATTCCATATTTGTGAACTCATGTACTTGCTAACATTACTTGTTACCCCTAATTGACACTTGTGGCACTTTTGCAGTCATTCCTGGGTATGCACAGAGTGGCAAAAATTTGAGTTGCTGCTGTTTCTAGCTGAGATCAAACAAGATGACACTCTACCTTTGTTTCAGCTCTCATACTGCAAACAAGTGTCCTTTTTGTGGCCTAATTAGTGCTGCATTTTTTGTAGGTGATTTTGCTGTTTAAAATCCCCCCAAGCATAGTGCTGAAGTGCTGTTTAGTTTTCCTAAGCATAAGAAGGCTGTGATGTGCCTTCCAGAGAAAATACATGTGCTAGATAAGCTTCATTCATACATGAGTTATAGTGCTGTTGCCTGAGTTCAATAGTAATAAATCAATAATACAGTAAATCCAGAAAAAGGAAGAGGAAATTTAATGATCTGTACAGGAGGCTGCTCCAGAAAGTGCTACAGTAACATCTATAGTGTTTGATGAAGAGATGGAAAATAGGGAAAAGCAGCTAAACTTGTGTATTTATGAGATGACAACCGATACAAAAAAAAAAAGCATAGCAGAGAGCACTGCTGTGAGCCTGAAAGCTAAAGAAATTTACCATCTTGTTAACCAGGGTCAGGAAATGATAAACCCTTCTCAGCTAGTGCTGGCTAGCTAGCTCACACACTGATAGAGTTCGGAAAATGTTAAATTTGCAGGCAAGGCAGGTTCTACCACCAGGAGGCTGTGGTAGAATTTTTAAAATACCTGTTCAGTGTTATACAAGAAATGGGTTATACTGAAGAGCTGGTTTTCAATGTTGATAAGATTGGCTTGTTTTATAAAGACCTTGGCAAATGAACCTACGCAATGCAATACCATTTCAATTGACAAAAATGTGACCAGACGCTCATAGGAATCTAACCCTATATTTCCTCAAGGAGTTCAGTATTCATTAATTCAGTGTTTGTGGCAACTTTATAGAACACAACTACTGTGAAAAATGAAAATCAACTGTATATTACCAAAACCAGATCCAGGAGAAGGGTGAAGGGTCTGAAAGTAACAAATGGGAAAATGATTTCTTTTGAGCCAATGGGACTGGCAGCCCTCAGAACCTACTTCTCCTCCACTGAAAGTACACACCGAGAAGTAAATGGTCAGCATAGAGTTGGAATCTCTAAGTCTGAAAAACATTGGAGATATGGGAGAATGCTCATCTCAAGATGGGTCAGTGGAGAGGGGAACCTACAGCTGAGGTAAGAGCATTTCTTCCAGACAAATATTCCAGCTACCATCACTTCTTTTTATTATGACACTGGAGGTCATCTAGTAAAATAAGGCAAGAAAAAAAAAAAGACGTAAGGATTGGAAAGTAAGAAATAAAACATTATTTGCAAATGTTATGTATAAAAACCAAAAGAATCCACATATAAAATTATTAGAATGCTGGATAAAAACTCAATATATAAAAATCAATTGAAAGTCTCTGTTAACAGAAAGAGGAATTGAAAAAAAAATGATGCCACTAACAATTGCAGGGAAAAAGTATCAAATGTCTAGGAATAAATCTAACAAAGGTCTTCAAGGCCTCTGCAAAAAAAAACACAATAAAATATTATTGGGAAAAACTAAGACCCTAAAGAAACGTTCATGGATTGGAAGACTCATGTATATATATTGAGTCTCCCGAGATTAGTCTATAGATTCAATACAGTCCCAATCAAAATCCCAACAGATTTTTTGGGGAGAGAGTGGATAGCTGATTCTAAAATTTATACGTAAATGCAAAGGGTCAAGAACATCCAAGACACTTGTGAAGTAGGATAAGATGGTATCAAGAGCTAAGCTGAGCTGGAGAGAGTTGAGCTGCCAGGTGTTGCAGTGGTCAGTTAACATAGGCAAAAATGAGAGTAACAGCCAAGTCTTTTAAAAAAATTTTTATTTTTCTGAGAGGAAGATTGGCCCTGAGCTAACATCTGTTGCCAATCTTTCTCTTTTTGCTTGAGGAAGACTGCCACTGAGCTACCATCTGTGCCAATCTTCCTCTATTTTATGTGGAATTCTGCCACAGTGTGGCTTGACGAGAAGTCTTTAAACATTTACTGCAATAGCCTTATCAAGAAGCTCAACAGGAGAAAGTGCTGGCTCCTGCTGTGTTCCATTCTTATCCATGGAACATGCCAGGCGAGGGTCAAGTGAATCAGCACAAATGTGGGGACTGTTGCATTGCCAAGTGAGCAGCACACAAAAGGCTGCAGTCATTTAATGGACCCAGGAGGCAGGGGGAGGAAGAGGGGAAAAGGCTAAGAGTGGAAAAGTACTGAGTACTAAGTTAGAGTAGAGAAAACTGTCTTCAAGGTTCTCCCACACCAATAAGGGGGTCTTGGCAGAGTTGCTTGGGCAAGGCCCCTAATAAACAGGCCTCCAAATGGAGGTGCCTGGGCTAGGAATGCAGATATGCCTGAGAGTATAACTGGCCAGGCAGTCTGAGTCCTTGACTGCAACTCCCTTCAGAGACTGCATGCTTTGGCTGTGCCTCAGGTCTAGTGCGGGAGGCTAGCTTTCCCCCATGAGGGATAAAGCCTCTGCAATTACCTGTGGTCAGGTCTGAAAAATCACACACAGAAATTTAGAGCTGGACTCCTCAGGTAGGATGATTTGTTCCACTGGCTATCTAAACATAATGTAAAGGTACAATAATTAGGAAAATGTGGTACTGATGCAGGGATAGCCAAATAAACCAATGGAACATAATAGAGAAACTAGAAACAAATCTATGCACATGTGGACAATTAATATACGACAAATTAGCATTGCAGAACAGTGGCGAAAGAGAGTCTTACCTACAAATGATGTAGGATAAACTGGATATCCACATGGGAAAAGGCACAAAAACCAATTTCAAATGCATTATAGATATAAATGGAAAAGCAAAATTACAGAACTTTTTAAGACCAAACAGAAAGTATTTGGGGGCTGGCCTGGTGGTGCAGCGGTTAAGTGCGCATGTTTTGCTTTGGGAGCCTGGGGTTCGCCAGTTCAGATCCCGGGTGCGGACACGGCATCACTTGGCAAGCCATGCTGTGGCAGGCGTCCCACATATAAAGTAGAGGAAGATGGGCACGGATGTTAGCTCAGGGTCAGTCTTCCCCAGCAAAAAGAGGAGGATTGGCAGCAGATGTTAGCTCAGGGCTAATGTTCCTCAAAGAAAAAAGTATCTTCATGATCTTAAGGCAGAGAAAGAAATCTTCAAAGACAAACAAAACAAAACAAAAACACACATGAAAGAAAAAGATTAACAAACTGGACTATATTAAACTTAAAAATTAATGCTCATCAAAAGACACCATTAAGAGAATAAAAAGGCAAGCCATAGAGTTGGAGAGGATATTTGCATTCTCTGTGTGAAGAGCTCATATTGAGAACATGTACATAATTCCTGCAACATGTATAAGAATCAAATAGCAACTTTCCATAAAGAGCACCAAACCACCAGTAAGCACACAGGAAGCTAGCCTACTCTTTGTTCAAGAGATGTTACCTCATCTCTCAAGGACACCAGGTGCATAAACAACACTAAGAAGTGGCCTGGGTAAGAAAGTGGCCAGGGCCTTGCAGTGCTGGCACACCCAGCAAGATGTGTAGGAGTGCAACTGGTCCAAGGAGGACTGTCTCTCCCAACAATGGTATACTGAGTTACAATGTGAAATGCATTTCCTAGTGCATAAAGTGGTTGAAAAACATTAGCCTAGAGAAGATGTTTCATACTTCCTAGAATAGAAATCCAGGCATTTCATGGTCTGGCCCCTGGCTCTCTCTGTTTCATCTGTCACTACTTCCATAATGCATTCAATAAACAGTCAGTGAAAACTTCCTTCTTTTCCCCCCAGATGCACTGTGCTTTTTAACATACTATTCCCACTGTACCTTCCTTCATTCTTTTTCATATGGCAGCAGAACTCATTCTTTCTCCAGGATTTCATCCTTCTCCAAAGGCTTTCCAACACTCTTGTGAGTAGTTATTACACCTTGAGTGCAAAGCACTTTGTGCAAACCCAGTGGCTTTATCACTGTAATTGTTGTTTTCTTTCTACTCCCTTCTCCCTGTCGCCAAATAGACTGTAAGCCCCTGTAGAGCAGAGTGCTTTTTTCCTTTATCTTTGTATTCCTAACATCAGGCACAAGATCCAGCCTAAAACAGATAATCATTAACACCTTAATTTGAGCTCACAAGGAATAACATGTTACATGTATCCTGATCTTATAACACTAAATTCTTCAGTAAAAGGGACTTCTTTTGCCAGACCATCTGCTCCTTCAAAGTCTTCAGAATACTCACCAGTTACTGCTTAAGATTCAACTGTGCTGGTTTGGGGTGGCATATGGCATCTCTTCAGTGCTGATCCCAGAAGGGTGTTCTCCACCCAGAAGACTCTGTTTGCAAACCTCCATCCTAAGAAAAAACCAAGACAGCTGAGGCCAAAGAAGTAAAAACTGAAAACACTGGTGATAACAACAAAGACACAGGATGACAGGGAACTCTCTCCAGGGCAGAGTAAGGAGAAACCACAGTCTCCTTCAATTGCCAAACGCAGGAAGAAGCAGGGCAAAGAAATTCACACTTTCAACCCAGTATAGTAAAGACAACTGCCTGGTGCTTTGCTGAGGCCCTTCACTTCTGCCTCTAAGTATGTGCCTTAGTTTCTCCAATATGCCCCATGCCCTAAGTGAGGTTCTATCCACACAGTTTGAGCTCCAGAACCATGTCCTTCTCTGCCTTCAGCCCCCATGTCCAGGCCTAGAGTTACTCGCGCAGGGTGGTAAGCACTACTTCAGTACCAGAGACTTCATAATGTGCTCTTTCACATGCATCTGTGACCTCAGTGCTTGATGGCACAAGTGGGCTCAGAGCTTCATGGAATCCCGTGTGTCTTGCAGCTGACTTGCCTGATTTGCTGATGAGAATCCATGGAAACTGTGCATCTCTTTGCAATAGAGTCCTACTCTGAGGAGTGAACACTATTTTACCTTCTCAGAGACTATTCCCTTCTACCTGTCCACAGCATGGACCAAAGCAATCTGCAATTTCTATCAATTTGGTGTTCGTCTTGACCCTCACAAGATTAAGTTTCAAGGATCAAAAGAATTTCAGGCCTGTTACCCAGGAGTGAGAAATCCCTATTAATATAGTAAAATAATAAAAAAGTAATTTTAAAGTCTAAATCTTTTTCCTGAGTTTCATATGTACATATACAGGGTTTGTGTTTTAGGCCTAGGGATTCGGGCTAGGAAGTTAGGGTATAGTCTGGTGAATAGTTCTCCTGGGATTTCCACCAACATAGGAAAGACATTTTCCAAATTGAACTCAACTTTCTACCACCTCCCGAATCTGAGCTCTCCTGAATGATATCAGTTATCAAGTTTCACACAGTCACTCAGGTCCTTGAAAGTCATCCTAAAACCAACGCCAACTGCAACTCAACAGTAGTTCCCTAAGCTTGTCCTATTCTCATACGTCTCAGTCTTTCTTTGCATATGCCACATTACACTCTGAGAAACACTAAATGCAAAGGGTAGGAGGACCTGACTCTAAGAGGTTTTTCGTTATTTTGTTTTGGTTCAGGAAGCTCAGTTAAGGTCAGGGTTTATTGGATCAGTAAGTCAAAAGGCTAGGGCTTTGTTAACTAAGCAAGAATAATCTTGAAGAACAACCTACTGGGATTGCTACCTAAAAAGAGATAGTCTACCTTCTGCCAGGAGGTCACTAACCCAGCTAGACAACCCTGAGAGCATAATGGGATATCAAAGGCAAAGAAAGGAAAACCAATAGGTTAGTATGTCCAGATTCAATGAGGATATGTTGTCCCTGTCTCACCAACATTACTTTCAATTTCAAAATTTAATGTCTCACTTGTAATACTGGTAGCAACAACAATAACAATAACAGGTTCATACATAAAAATAAAAACCATGCTTGAAATACTGAAGTTTGCTCTTACTAAACCAAAACAAACTACATTATGGCATATGGTTTTTAAATGGCTTTACCTTATGAGTTGTAAACTGCATTCTCAGAAGTAGATGTGATTTTAGAGCTTTAGTTGGTAATTATTATGATGGAGTCATTTTTCACTGACTTCTCACTTCTTTAATATTTCAAGGGACCAAGCGTCAATTAAAACATTAACTTTAACCATACCCTTCTTTTGGTGGTAACTTCTGATACAAAAAAAGTCCTTTGAATATCTTCACCACATAAATCACTTTTGACACTTCCCTTTGGTATGTATTTTCTGGTGTTTGGCAAGATTAGAGCTCCCACGGAAAGCTTTCCCACACTCGTCACACTCGTAGGGTTTCTCTCCAGTATGGATTCTCTGGTGATGAATAAGGGTTGAGATCTGGCTGAATGCCTTCCTGCATTGTCCACACTCATAGGGCCTTTCTCCAGAGTGAATCCTCTGATGATTTATAAGGGCTGAGTTCACATAGAAGGCCTTTCCACACTCCTTACACTCATACGGCTTCTCTCCTGTGTGGATTCTTTGATGTTTGATGAGTGCTGAGCTCACACTGAAAGCTTTTCCACACTCATTACACTCATAAGGTCTCTCACCAGAGTGGATTCTCTGATGTTTGATAAGGTCTGAGCTCACACTAAATGCTTTGCCACATTCAATACATTCGTAGGGTTTCTCTCCATTGTGGATTCTCTGATGTATAATCAGGTGTGCCCTCACACTGAAGGCTTTCCTACACTCGTTACAAGTATAGGGTTTCTCACCAGTGTGGATTCTTTCATGCACTGTGAGGGTTGAGCGCACACTGAAGGCTTTTCCACAGTGATCACACTCATAGGGTTTCTCTCCAGTGTGGATTCTCCGATGACGAACAAGGCCTGAGCTCTGGGCAAACTTCTTTCCACAATCACTGCATTTATACCGTCTTTCCTCTGTGGGCCCGTCCTCGTGCCTTTCTAATTGGTCTTCATACAGAGGGACTTTTTCATACTCAGGAATCTCTCCATTAATCTCCCCTAAAGTATCCCCATTATATATGCTGGGGACCTTCTGGTGTGGGTCCATTCTTACAAAAATCTTCCCTTCAGAATCAATACCTTGTTCATACCTCTGGCCTTGATGCCTGAAATAATAAACAGACCTTTCAAATCTAAATCTTTCCTGCTGCTAAAGCAATATATTTTGAAAACAGACTTAAGTAGGACTCTTGAATATGTTTGACAACCCCAGGGCACACCAATCATATGGCAGCCAGATCAAATGTTTTTATTCAGTCTGTACCACAACATAGTAACATCACAGAACTACTGGAATGAACACCTGACTCAAATGACTATTTAAATCTACTCTTTATAAAGCACAGAGTCTGGGATATAAGTGAATTTAAAATAATATATAGTTCCTACTTAAAAATATTTTTTATCATATTTAATTAAATTAGGAAACAAGACAGGAATTGAAGAGATTTGCAGACAGCAGAGCAGATGAAGGAGTAAAGGAATAAAGAAGGCAGAAAGAATCAGAAATTCAACTGATAACGAGTAAGTTTGGAAAAATGACAATAACATCTTTGACAGGTGTGTTTTACCACTTACAAGAGTCCACAATATGCGGGTTGGAAGAGAGACATGGGAATAACAGAAGCTCTGCCTATTGCTACCATTACTATTACTGCAGCAGCTGTTGCTATGATAGACAGTATCTTAGCAACAGCGATGCTTTGTCTTCTCTGGAACTGTGATAGAACAGACCCTTTAACTCCAAAGAAAGGGGCTCCACCAGCCCCTTTCATCTTTATAGTTCAAACCAACATGTGGAGAACTTGGTTGATTGCTGCCACTCTCATATTCCTTGGGAACAAATCCAATTTTATCCAGACTTGATAAAACTTTTGCTCTAAACTCAAATTACACAAATTATCCCCTCTCTGCTTTTTCCCATCTTATAAATTGTTTTAGGTCTCAATAGTGATAAGTCAAGTTGACAATATGCACCCTTGATACGAGGAAATGAGAATGGCACTTCACCTCTGTGGTCTTCCTCCACTTAACCTATAACCTCAGTATCATAATGAGAAAAAGATCAGTCAAACTGCAAATGAGTGACATTCTACAAAACACCTGACAAGTACTCCTAAAAACTGTAAAGGTCATCAAAAACCAGGAAAGCCTGAGAAACTGTCACAGCCAAGAGGAACCTACGGAGACATGACAATTTAATATGGTATCTTGGATGGGATCCTGAAATAGAAAAAGGACATTAGATAAAAACTAAGAAAATGTGAATGAAGTAGACTTTAATAATAATAGTCAAAAGTAATTCCAGAGTTGTGATAAATGTACTATACTAATGTAAGATACTAATAATACGGGAAACTGGGTGTGGGGTATATAGGAACTCTTCGTACTATCTTCACATTTTTTCTGTGAATCTAAAATGCCCAGAGTCCAGAAACTATTCTAAACATTTTATTTAAAAATTTGTCTCTATTTTTGAATAGGTAAAATACAATTCAAAAGTCAAAATCATCTAAAAAGATACATGTAGAGAAGTCTTGTTTCCACCCTGATCCCCCTCAGTTTGCCACCTCCATAGGTAATCACTTTTATTAGTTTCTTGTGTCTTTCCAATATTTCTTTATATGAACATGTATTTCTTAAGCCTCTGATTTGTGAGGGGAGGAAGGGATTCCCCAGAAATCGGTCACAGGTTTGTTGTCACAGACACTATATCCTCCACGGCTTAGGAGCTGTACTATTTCTAAGCCATGCTCTTCTGTCAAGTTTCTCTGAAGAGTAGCTCCTTAGCAACACTGAAAAAGGCTCACTCAGTGCACAGGTCACATGTACATGAACCTTTGCCCAGAGTCCAGAAACACGGTTACCATGGAAGCACGTGGTGTAAGCTGCTCTGCCCTTAGCAAAACATGGGGAACCCCTAGTCCTACCCAAATCCTTCTTGATCTGCAGCTTGCTCACACTAGAATTAGCCTTTCCCACTCCTGCTTCAATGTTCCTTCTTTTCCCATAATACATTCCCCTCAGAGCCCCAAACTGCTGATATTGACTTCAAGCAACTACAAAGGATAAATATTTATTTTTTTCTGAATAAATTATTTTAAGGCTACAGGTACACATAAAGTACTTTTGTGAGCTGTCATCAGAAACCTTTAACTTTTTAACTTCAAAGAAAAGCTATCAAGAAGAAAGAAACGATTGCTCTTATCTTTTAAACAGAAGAAAAAAGCTGGGTGGGGGTGGAAAAATGCAATACAGATATCAAAAGAAAGGAGCTTTCCCGAGCATAGTATTCAGCTAAGCTGATCTTTTCTTTGAGGCACAATGAAACTATTTCAAGAACATCTAGATAAAATTGCGTGTCCCTCAGCTACCAAGGTCATAATAGAGCACAAAGGAGAGTTGAGGACACAGGGCCAAGAGAAAACAGGGTCTCCTCCTTTCCCCTACTCTCCTTCCCCGCCTCTGGAAATCGGCCCTGTCAGAACAGGCAGGCAGGTCACTGTGATTATGTCTCCTCCGAGCCCCGAAGACGCTGCTGGGGACTGCGGGCCTCAGCCCGAGATCCGGGCTTGGTAGGGCTCTGGCCGCAGAGCCCCTGCGCCCCCGCCATCCTTGCTCCCAGGGCCTCTGGGGAGTCGGCCTTGGCAGTGCGGCAAGGGAGGGGAGGCAAGAGGGGAAGGGCAGAAGAGGCAGGGGTAGAAGGCAAGGAAAAGACAGTAAAAGAAGAAAGTGAGGAGCGTGAAAAGAGGGGCGGGGTGAGGGGAGGCACAGGGGTCAGAGGGCAGGGTCCGGGGACAGGCCTGAGGCGACATGGCGCAGCAGGTAGTTCCCCCTCCTCTGCGGTGCTCGCCCCAGAGGTCACTCAAAACCAGAGAGGTAGGATAACAGAAGACTCACCTGGAGATGTGCAGTTACACAACCTGACGACCGACTCAGGCCACCACTGGCCTGGAGAGGTCGCCTTCCGCGGAACCCCGCCCCTGGGCACCTGGGGGCCGCTCTAGGATCGCGGAGGCTTCCTTCTTGGTGGTTCGAGAGTTGATGCCCTGAAAGGAGCAGGAGAGGAAAGGATTCTATTCACTCCGAAGAAGACATTGTATACTTTTTATCTCCTTTAATCCTGCAAAGTAGACATTATAGTCCTCCTCTCATATATAAGAAAACTGAGAAGCAGATAAATTTTACAAGGTCAGAGAACTAATAAAACAGCACAGATGAAATTTGAACCTACATCTGTCACAGTCCCAACTCCTTCCACTTGCCTCCTAGATGAACCACCATATGGCTCCTTGGGGCTTAGCACTCAGAAACTAATCCCTAAATTAATTTGTAAATTTAACACTATTCCGATAAAAATACTAACTTTTTTATAAGTAGATTTTAAACTTCACATAGAAAAATAAACAAGCAAGACTTCCTGGGAAAACTCTGAAAAAGAAGGGCAATGAAGGGGCAATTGTCCTAAAGGATTTTAGACATATTATAAAGCCTCAATAATTAAACAGTGTAGTACTGATGAGTGAGATAGACAAATGTACAGAATAGAAAGTCCAGAAATAGATGCAATCAGAGGCAGAAATTTAGCATATAACAAAGGTGGCAAATCAGTAAGAAAAAGATGAGTAGACTTTTCAATAAATGTAGGAAGAGAACTGGGTAATCATCTGGAAAATCTTAAATTGGATTCCTACCTCACTCTATGCATGGGTAAATATTCCAAATAAATCAAAATTATAAATGTTACAAATGAAACTATAAAAGTACCAGAGGAAAACCTGGGAGAAGTGTTTTATAACCTCAGAAGGTTATAACCTCAGGAAGGCCTTTCTAATTATGAGCCAAAATCCAGAGGCCATAAATGAAAAGACTGATAAATCTAATCTCTATGCAAAGAATCAAATTTCCTGCACAGTAAACAAACAAAACCACCTTAAGCAAAGTCAAAGACAAATAAAAAATGGAAAACATATTTACAACTTATATCTGAGACAATAGGCAGCAAAGATGGACCTCCTAAACAATAACATTGTGGAAACGGCAGAGCTGAGCTGGCTTCCCTCTTGTTCCATCCTCACTTTGAATCAGATTCTGCTAAGCATTCACAACAATACACTTATTCTGATTCCGTTAAATAGAAGATTTAAAAAAAAGGGTCTCCTCAGGCCTCTTACTTCTAGAACCTTCAGAAGACCACAGAATGTCAATTTTAACACTTACAACTCTTCTTTAGGGGGAAGGATCCCTATAATTGATATTTCAGTGGTGTATTACGGAGTAGGAGCTAGAGAGACAGTGATTCTCCTGCTCCCAGAGCTGGCATTTCTTGCTAGATTACTTCTTAACTGCATGCAAGAGCTGGAATCTGGAAAATTAAATACATGAAATTGTGAATAAATCACCATATAAACAAATAAATCAGCAGAGCAGGCCAGTCCCAGGGAAATAAGGAGAGGAAGAATTAATTACAACAAATAATCTAGGTAGGACTTCTTATGTATCAAGTACTGTTCATGTAATCTTGATAACATCTCTACGCAGGTGCTTTTATCATCCTCACAGATGAGGAAATGGAGGGACAGAGAAATTAAGTTTTTTAACCTAAAAATAAAGAGCTAAAAATGAGAGGCAGAGAGGCGTTTATTTTGGGATCAAAGAATTGCAATTCAAGGTACACAGATCCGGGTAACAACTCAAATAATGTCCCGCTAGGGAGTAAGAGGCAGAGGCTTTTAAAGGCAAAAGAGGGAGGTTTGCATTACAAACAATATTAATTGGGGTTGGCGGCAGAAAGCTAATCTTGGCAAAACATAATTGATTGCTAAGGCTAGGTAGAGGGAGGCAAAAGTTCGTCACTGTGACCAACCGCAGGTTTCTTGCAGTGTTAACTCTGTTAAAAAGTTCATGTTCTGCTCCGTGAGGACGTCTATAAGACCCATTTCCTTAATAGCTTCCTGGCTCCATTTTAAAGCCCTTAGACAAAAGCCCGTTAGACTTAAATGCCTAAACAAGAGAACAGAAGAGAAGAATCCCTAAGAGACTAAAAGCTTTAAGATGACTTGAAAAATACCTCTCTCTTCCCTTCCTGCTATCTGGGTTCATCCAACTCACTCTTCGGGTCGTCCAGGTAGCCACTTTCCCAACAACTCCCTACCCCCCACCGCACGCTGCTCCCACTCCCAGACCTAGCGCTCCTCAGGAAGAATGATGGGGAATTGACCTCAGCCATTGTCAACCGAGCTGCTGGAGCCAGCTCAGAGCGAGTTTTCTGCTAACAGAATCCTTGGAACCAGCAAAACCAGATCCTCTAAAATGCAGCCGTGCAGCTTTCCAAATGCAGTAAGATTCCTCTTGAGGGCCTCTTCTTCGAGAACATTTCTTCTGTAAAAGAAATTATTTTACTCAAAGAAAAAGCAAAGACTGCCATAGTTGTTACGCTAATTACTGAGGGTTACGGCAGAAAAAAGAGCAATATCAAATAAAGGGCTAATTTGCTAAGAAGGGCTGTCAGATCACAGACTGGGATGGCAGGTGTGGCCCTGCGCCACAGGAATCTCCCCGCCAGTGCTTCTGTGCATTACTGACCAAGGGCCTGGACACGGTCGTCAGTAGAGAACGGCATCACCGTTGCTGGAAAGTGGTTCTGCCCTGGCGTGGATGGAAAAGTGACTGCTAAAGGGGAAGAGCAATAAATTATTGCCAAGCTGAAATAAAGAGGTGTATTCTGCAATCAAAAGGTAATGTAATGGGCACAAGAAGAATTGGAAGAGGAAGTCTCTCTTAAACTTAGAGCCCCTAACAATTTCCAGTCATTTGCAGTTTCTTCTTTTTGTTTGGAAAGGAGAACTGAGGGTCTGATGCGCAGTGATACCAAATATATCAGGGGTCCACGTTGTTGTCAGGCCTCAAAACTCTGAAGACCGTAAAGACCAAAGTTATAATCCCGAGAGGGAAGCAGTCCCAAATGTGGACTCCAGCAGCACTGAATGGCGTGAAATACCCTTCCTAGGAATGTTGCATTTAGCCATAATCCTCACGGTCCCAAGATGGGCAGCCTCACTAGCTTCCCGTCAGCACTCCACCCGGGCCTGCCTCGCGAGAGAGGATCTGAGAGGTTGCAGCTGAACAACGCCCACCGCGCCACCGCCCAAACGCAGAGCAGTCGGCCCTAGACCGAGAACAGCAATCAGCTCCTTCCGCTCCCTACGGGGCGGAAGTCCCTCTCAGCACTTCCGGGGCGGGCCCAGGAGCCCGGAAATCTCCAGGCGGGGCCTGGTTTCGCTCCCGGCTGGCTGTCTCGAGCTCAGGCCCAGGTCCTGGTCGATCCTTCTGGGACCGCCTCTACCCCAGGCCCATCCGCAAGACTTGGCTTTCCTACCTCACCCTTCACCGAAAGTGATTTTTGCTTCCTGATTTTACCCAGGGTAGGACCACCCTTGAATCTTGGAATTTAAAGACACTGCTTATGGGAAAAGGCAACATCTCCAGTGTGGGCCCTACAGGACCCCTAAAACCAGCAGGCGGGACCGCAAGAGCCCTGGTCTTCACTATTAGTGATCTGAAAGCCAATGCTGCATATTCTCTGCTTTCGTGAGGATTAGGGACCAGGCCCATGAAAGCAGGGCTTTCAAAACATTACTGTGATACTGCAAAAATCCCTCAAACTACTCATTTATGAAAGAATTTAACTCAAGATACCAGTCAGTATTGTCAAAATTGATTTGAGTGGAGCTATTTGAAAATGGAGCTGGCCTCTCTGGAGAAACTGCTTTGCTGTCTTGAACCTTGGACTGGGCCAAAACTACAATTGTTTTACAAGCAATTGTTTGAGAGGTCAGCAGGAGAACAGACATCCTGATCACAAAGACTGATTGTGAACTTTTTGAAGATACAATCAAAATTCAATTTTTACCCAAGATTAGCTGTCTGCCTCCAGCTCCAATTAAAATGCTTTACCACCCCGGACTTTGAGTGTCCTCCCTAGCAGGACTGGACTCTATTTGGGTTTCTACCTGAATCTGTGCTCCTGAAATCTCAATTCTTTGTTCCTTGATAAACACTTTGCTTCTTAAACTGGTTTCTGTTTTTGCAGGATGACAGTATACTGGTTCGGACATACAAGCTGATAAAAGGAGTAATTCTTAAAATGAAACATTACAGGTAGAGGCACTAAGTATGACTCCATCCCGTGGCAGAGTATAAATTAAGAACATACAATAACAAGGTTCAGACTTGAGGGCATACCCAGCCAAAAAAGAAATGGGCAGAGTCTCAGAAAACCTGGATTCTCTTTCCACCTGTACCACTAACTTAATGGGTGACCCAGTGCAATGGGTGGACTCTCTGGACCTCTATTTAGAGAACAGGTTGGAAAATGATCTCAAAAGTCACTTCCCAACCTAGCATTCTACAGACTATGAATACTTAAACACAACAGAGCAATGTAGTTACTTCTTTGGTGTGTTACACATTGAACTGATTTTCTAACTCTGGGATTGATCCTTTTTAAACTTGTTGAAGGAAGTACCATAGAGCTACAAAAGGAGACATATTTTTGAAAGGTCTTCTTTTAAGCCATTTAATTTAGGAAATCACATCTCCCCCTACATATCTGCCTTCCTAAGTAGGATTAACAGTCTGTTAAAAACTTGCTAAGTGGGAATGTGTTTTACTTGACAAACTCTGACAACATTCTGGCTTGTGGTTTCCTTGGAGAGTTGGTAATTAATCCTGTTCAGTGGCTGATTTTCCAGACATTGCCAGATTTCTCCAGTTGAGAACCACTGGTCTAACTTCAGATACAAAAGCCAAGGGACTGTTGAGGGTTATGTCTTGTCCCCAAAGGTAAATCTTTGATGATTTACAGGCCCCCTGCTAAAGAGATAGCCCCCAGTGTTTTATCTTTGATTTTATATAATGCACCAAGATGTGGAAGACTAAAACTAGACTTTACTCCTCTGACACCTTCCACTTGGTATAAGGATTGAGGCAGATCTGATACTGAAAGCAACCTTAGAACATCATCATCAGCAATTTTATTGTTTACCATCACCCCAACATGTATGTTGCTGTGAACTCCAAACATTAAAGCTTTTTTTAAATAATCTTATAAACTACAAAATATATACACACTTAAGATTCTCTTAAAGCTTGGCATAGCTAATTTTTGTAATTGTAATGTTAATATTTGATCTCTATTCTTTTTCTTAGATATCCAGACCAGGGTTCCTCAACCTCAGCACTATTAAACATATGGAGCCAGACAATTTTTTTGTTGTGGGGGCTGTCCTGTGTGTGCAGTTTTTAGCAGCATCCTTAGCCTCTATCCACTAAATGACAGTAGCATCCCAGCCATCCACTGATGGTACAACCAAAAATGTCTCCAGACATTGCCAGATTTCTCCAGTTGAGAACCACTGGTCTAACTTCAGATACAAAACCCTATCCTCAAGCATTTTTGCAATGATAACTTTAACACAGTAATCTTTAGAGTTTCCTATTTTCTTTCTTTTTTAACCAATAAATAAGTCTGGGCAAACAAATGGAGAGCTTCGTATTTCAGCTTTCACACATAATCTCCTAAAGTTGGATTTTTTGGTCTTAGTCTTAGGTATAGGCAGTTACTGATGTACTACGGAAATACATCTGCACACAAAGTGGTAAGAAAAGTACATCCTTGAAAACGGCTTAAAAATTTCTTTAGGTAACACCATAAATAATCCACACAATAATTCGACAAGCATTTATTAAACGCCTACTGTGTGCTCAGCACTGTTCTAGGCACTAGGGGGTGCAGAGATACAAATGTCAAAGTTATTATTCCTGCCCTCAAGGAGCTTACAATTTAATTTGGAAATAAATACAAAGGTGAAACCACAATACAGAGTGCTAGAAAATAATTACAAAGCAACATATTAGTAAGTGCATGGACCACAATATAAACTCAAAGGATAAGTGCTGAGGCAGCACGGAATAAGGGAGGTCTCAGTATGAGGTGAAGTCAGTCAGGGAGAGCTCACTCAGAAGATATAAAGGAAGCAAGGCTTTGAAGGGAGTGATCAACTGAGCTGGGGCCAAAGAGCAATCTAAGCAAAAGGAATAGCATGAGAAAGGCACAGAGGCAGGGTTTATAAGACAAGAGTGGAAGGCCACAGGAAGTTTGAACGTGACAAATCAAGGTGAATATGCTGGAGAATAATGGGGCTGAGGCAGATTAAGCATGGAGGGCAAGGTAATGAAGAACACTGAACACCACTGCTCTCATAGGAAATTATGTGCTAGGTGTTCTTGAGTGAAAAAGACCTAACGAAAATGGATTTTGAGGAGGACCATCTTGGAAGCATACAAAATGAGGATCTTGAGAGCAAGGAAACTGGTAAGAAAGAATTACAATAACCTGGGCCTCAGATGATACAGAGCTGCAGAGGGCTACAAGAGGATGGCAGTAATGTAAAAGATCCAACCTCAAAGAGAAAACTGACTAAAAATTTGAATGACTTAGCAAGATTTTGGATTTGGAGAGTGGAGAGCAAAAAAAGACTTACCCAAGACTAGGATAAGAAATATGAAGAGTAGTGAGTCTATTCAGGGTAAAGAAGTTAAGTAACGATGCTTATTTAAAAGGAAAATGGGAGCTTGGGGACAAGAGAGATGAGTTCTGTTTTCAAATACCAAATTGTGTAGGGACCTGTGGAAAAGTCCACAAGTTAAGAGATGACCCACAAGGTAGGAAATATTAAGTTACTGAAATATAGGAGGTAAGTGCAAACAATCAAAATAGATAACTAAGAATGAGTATAGAAGTAGTGAATAAAATTAAGACATGGGGATTATTTTCAGTAGAGAGAAGGAGAAAAAAGACCAATAAATAAAAGCTAGAAATTGGAGAAATATGACCAAAAAGGATCCCACAAGCCAGAGAAGAGAATTCCTGAGATGCAGGGGAACTTCAACAGTATGAAATATAGACCAAGAAGGATAAGAGCTCCAGAAAAGGTATTAATATTTATCCACTAGTGATTATGAAAACATTTCAGTGGAATACTGAGTACAAAAACTAGTAAAGAGAAGTTTTAAAAACAGATGAATGAGGAAACGGGGTTGAACAATGGATGACATGTTTGAAAAATCATGACTGATAGAAGAAAAATAAAATGGTTGTTGGAAATGGGCAGTGAAGTTGAAGGATTTCTACATTTTATGTTGTAGATGAAGATACTATTGTCATCCTAACTGTCCATCTGCCTGGCCTTGTACATGGATATCTCATTTCCCTCCATCATTCTACTTTCCCTGGGGCAGTTTAGAGAGAAATGTATTTGAAACTGTAAGTTATTATTGCTTCATCCTCCCAGTTACCCTTTTAAACATGTTTTACTTGCACAATTTAGCTTTCTAGTACTACAAAGCATCAAAAGTATCAACACTTAAAGATGATATAATTACAAACCAAAATGGCATTTTTCAACCAATTTTCCAGTAATTGTAATGGACTTACAACTATACTGCACATTCCCTTCCCCTATACCTCCTATGACCAGGGATACATAATTTTTAAATGGCTGACCAGCGTTAGGGTGTCCATTAGAGATATGGTAGCACGGTGGTCAGGAGCACAGGCTCGAGAATCAGACTGTACAGGTTAGAATCCCAGCTCTATCACTTACCAGCTATGTGATGTTGGGCAACTCATTCAACTGTTTAAGCCTCATCTCATCTATAAAACAGGGAATATAATAATTATATCTATCATAAGCATGAGAAATGCTTAACATGGTTTGGCACATAGTAAGTGCTCAATAAATGTCAGCTATTATTGTCTAGAGACTTAGAACCAAGTGCAAAGCGAAGTGTTCCATACGGGAATCAACCAATACATTCTAGCATTGTCACCTTGCTCAACCGAGAAAATCTTTGAAACCTAAGATGCCTCTCTCCTAGGACTATGTTGGATGGCAGCAGAGTTACAGAAGAACCACTTCATCATATCAGGTCCTATAATGAGAAGCTGAGGATGCGAGAAGAAAGTATTGGTGAACAGTGCATTTCAGATTAATAGCATAAAAAGAGAATCTGCAGGATAAAGGAACTTAGTGCATGTCCCTCACAGTTAGGAGCTCAAAATAAGGTCCTATAGACTGACCAACAATATTCTAATGCTATGAGTAAGAAGTGGAGAACAAGAATGGACTTCTACGTATGCCCCAAAGAAACAACAGCCTTTTTCTACTGTCTCATACTACTTGGTTATTTCTACAGGTGTGATGAATCAACCTTGATAGTTTTTTCAAGTCGTGTCTTTTCTCACATTCATCCCAATATAACATTAATCTTTCTGGTTATATTTTCTTTTCTCTGAATTTCTGCCAGATGCATAGTAATTCTGAGATTTAAGTAAGCTGGCTACACATTACTCTGAGTAAAGAGATGTTAACTGGTACATCTATAGTTATTTCAGTATGTTGCTCTGCTAAGAGCTTTCAATGAAATAGAAGGCAAACGTTCTTCTACGCTATATGAGAGGGGTGTGTGTGTGTGTACAAGCACATGCATACACACATTTTCTCCCCCTGACAATGTACTCATCCTATGTAATATCTGTACATAGGCAGCACTGGCCTCAGGCAGAATTAGTATCTTGCACAGAGTTATGGTAAGGCACAACTTAAACAGAGAGCATGGATCTAGAGACAACCAGGTATATTAGTTTCTGGTTTCTTGAAATTTCAACTACAAGGGAATTAGGAATGGTAATCTATAGGCAAAAACCCCCCGCAAAACACAAAGAAAAGAGAGAAGGGACGATAAAATAAAGCATAATGGAAAGCACTGTTTTGAAAAAGTTAACCAAGGAAACCAGGACGACAAATGACAAGTAGGTACCAATGGCTCAATGAAATAGGTGTAATAACCTTGATGATGTTAGTGGTGAAGGTGGACCATGAGGGGGTGGGTAGACAAAGGATGTTACAGGGAAGGAATTTATGATCCAAAAGGTGGACCTCTATGACGTACGATTTTATGACTGATTTTTAAAAATAGCAATCATAAAATAACGTGATTAATGAGTGTGGTCCCTGTTGAGGATAGCCACAGGGTGAAGTTGAGTAACTTCTCTTGGAGTTTTCATCAGAATGTAGGTCATATTCTTCTGAATAGTATTAATGGAATCAATTCCAATTTTGAAAGCCAATTTTGGAAATAGCCATAAGTTACTCAATTCCAAATCTGGTGAGTAAGTGGGTAATCAAATGGTCGAAAATGAGATGTGACTCAAGAGTAATAGAGAGTTTCCTTGTATGGTTTATTAAATGGGAATTTGGGGAGTGTTCCAAATATGTGGAGGAGTGGTAGCACTATTGGAATAACAGCACTACTGGAATAACTAGAATGCTCAATTTAAAGGACAACCCACGTTTGGATGCCTAAGTTCTGGTGTGTTACTTTAAACTAGCCTCATTACTTAACATAATATCCCTTGGTATAGTGAAAGCCTCAAAGATGAAATACAGTGCTTGATGATGATGAGTTTAATATTGTGCCTTTGCTGGATTACAGATGGAGTACACCAGAATTCAGAAGAATGAGGAATTTTAAGGTGAAGTATTTGACAGATTGTCACTGTGGATATATAAAACAAATGGCAAGAAACAGATGGAGAATGATGAGTGAGGTGCTGAGGCCATCTAAGGAGGTGGATCCAGGGTAATGACAAGAGTGACAGACCATCTGGTCAGGGGGTTTGTGCAGACTGATAGGAACCTGAGAAAGCAGTACTGTAATGGGCCTAAAGGGACAAGTGTACATTCTTTGTAAGGATTTTACTATCTTCCTCAAGCACCTCTGTCTCCTCTTTCTCCCAGGTGATGCCCTAACTAGGATAGTGTAAACACCTACTTGTACCACAGTGTACAGTGGGAAGGTAGGAAGGAGAGCCAGAAGCCACCAAAAGGTACAACCATCGAAGCTCAAGAGCCACTGGGCTGAGTCTCCACTCACCTCTTTCTCTGCAACATCCCACAACCATCACTAATGCGTCCACTTCCTTTGCTGACACAGGTACTGGGACTGGGGGTTGTGAAGGATACGTATGGATGTTCAATGACTCAGTGGAGTCAGTGAAGGTGATATATGAAGAAAAATGCTGGAGTGCTGTTAAAAATATAGCATTCTGAGTTTGCATGGGAACATGGATTTCCACTGACTAGCAGGAACATTGGAATAAAATAGAATGCGCACTTAAGCATAAATACACTAAGTGTCTGTAAAAATTTCCCTAGAACTAGCATCTTAGAAAGCTAAATACAAATATAAGTCTTATACAGAGGCTGCTCTGCACTCTAAAGCAGCTTCTTAGATCAGATTAGGAGCACAAGTGCACCTTCAGGGGAATAAATGGGAGATCACAGAGATGGGAAAAAGCAGAGGAACTAGGAGCAGCCTCTCTCAAACCTACAGCTACTCACCCAAAAAACAAAATTAAGTGCCTCGAGCCACGACAAGCAACTTGCTCTAATGCTATTTTAAGTTTCTAAAGGATGCACTAGGCCATCGGGAGCTCCACTCCATCAGATACTTTGCAAGAATGTCAAGCTAATCAACCTGCATCAAGGCACTGGGCCCAAACTACTGAAGAGCTATTCTAACTTTGCCACCACTATTGATTCTGACCCTAGGTAAGGTTACAATGATGACAAACTTTCTGCCTTTTTACCACACTGAAAGACCTCTTACTGGCATGTGGTTTCTCTAATGCTGAATAATGCCCAAACTATGACTGAAGTTTCTTCCTAAACTCCTATGGATTCAGGTTTTTCTCCACTGTGGATTCTCTGATGTCGAATGAGACTCGACCTCTGAATAAAGGCTTTCCCACACTCATTACATTGATAGGGCTTCTCCCCTGTGTGAATTCTCAGATGCTGAATGAGGCCAGTGTTCCCATTGAAAGCTTTCCCACATTCTTTACATTTATAGGGTCTTTCTCCAGTGTGGATTCTCTGATGTTCAATAAGGCCTGACTTCTGACTGAAGGCCCTCCCACACTCATTGCATTTGTACGGTTTCTCCCCAGTGTGGCTTCTCTGATGGCCAATAAGATGTGAGCTTCGCCTGAAGGTTTTCCCACACTCATCACACTCATAGGGCTTCTCCCCAGTGTGGATTCTCTGATGTCCAATGAGGTGTGAGCTATGACTGAAAGCTTTCCCACACTCATTACATTCATAGGGTCTCTCCCCACTGTGGATTCTCTGGTGCAGAATAAGGCCCGCACTCTGACTGAAAGCCTTCCCACACTGATTGCACTGATACGGCTTCTCCCCAGTATGGATTCTCTGGTGCAGGATCAGGCCTGTGTTTTGACTGAAGGCTTTACCACACTCCTTACAGTGGTAGCGTTTTACTTTGTTGTGGATATCCTGATGGGAAAGAAGGGCTGACCTGTAACTGAAGGCTTTACCACACACATTACACTGATAGGGTTTCTCCCCAGTGTGGATTCTCCAGTGGCGAACAAGGCCTGAACTCTGAGCAAAGCTCTTCCCACATTCATCACATTTATGTCGTCTCTCTTGGGTGGGATTTCCCCGCTGCCTCTCTAATCTGCCCAGAAGGTCTCGAGCTTCTCCATGCTCAAGACCCCCGATAACATCCCCGTTGCATTTGGCAGCTGTTTCTCCATGTGGTTGGATTCCAGTAGATATTACCTGTTTCGAAGCTAATTCCCTGTTCTCATTCCTGGTCTCACCACCTGAAATAAAAATGTAATAAATAAACATCAAGTCAATGTCACTTGCTATTCTCTATGTTAGGAGAAAGGAATCCAAGATAGGGGAAAAGGAAAACACACATGGATAGCTATAAGTAAATGTGAATCTTCCATCTGTCTTCAAAATGCCTTCATAATATGGGGAGATGTGAGCAGGGTCAAACAGAAGTATGACAGGCCACCTGGGGAAGAAGTGCTATGAAAAAAGAGGGTTGTTGGAAGGAGTATTAAAGTAGGGAAGGTACCAACTGAGGAGAAGTGGAAGTTGGGGAGTGGGAAGGAATATAGAACTACTAAAAGATCTAAGGAGTGGGATAGAAATGGAAGAAAGCCTCAGGCCGAAGTGAGAGAAATCTATGTAAAGATCCTATGGGAACTGGGAGCAGAAGAAATGAGTGAACTCAGAGAGCACTAAAAGATTTCAATTTTCAACTGGCAAAGAGACCAATACCCAGTTACAAACTGTAAGGTAAATCTTGGATGGGAGAATAAAAGTTTCATTTTAGACCTCAAGAAGTCTCAACATTGTATCTCTCTATTAGATGCTGAGTTTAAACTCAAATATGTCTTTCAGAAAGCTCAGAGCTACCATACACATAAAATACAAATGAACAAAAAACTTAAATGATAATAATAACCAGAGCTCTCCTTACCCAGGGAGAACATGTTTCTGTAATTCTCTGGCCTGTTATCTCTACTCAGATCCTTCTGTGATGGATCAAGAAGCCACTCCTCTCGAATTAGGGACACAGCCATGTCTTCAATCTTCTCCAAAGTCTGAAACAAAACAAGATCCCCATTTGGGGACTGGGACTGTTCCACAGCTCAAACCCAGAGTGTCAGAGAGATCCACCACGGTTGGACAATTGGAGAGGATCAAGAGGTGGGAATGTATTGTGTAAAGGGATCTGAATAGCTGGGAAGAAAAGATTTATTGGGGGAAAATCAAGTATCGATCTGTCTCTATGCAAAAGAATCTGGGGCAAGTTCTTGCGTCAGTACTGCTACAGACAGTCCAAACATGGGGTAGATGCCACAAACACTGCCAAATAGAGCTATGGGACTTCCGTGAGAAGGAGCACGACTCACCTGGAATCCTGCTGTAAGAAGTGTAGCTGTCATCTCCTGGTCTCCAGGACTTCCCTTCTGGGGAGGGGCAGGACTCTGAGTAGATATGGCTGAGAGAGGAGGAAAGGAGCTATGAATGATACCAGCCTTGTCCTGCGATTGGGGGAGCTAGGAGTAACCCATTCCACAATTATTTGTATTTCAGAAGATATGCATACCAGAGATTTTGCATATGAAATGCTGATATCGTGGGTTCTGGATCCATACCTATGGTTGCCCACAAAACACAAGCATTTTGACGCCCCACTCAGCCTCAAGCTACATGTCAAAAACAGAAAGTGTGCTGGTCTCCTAACAGGGATCGCCTTACAATTTCTTCTCCACCACCAAAGCTATATTCTATCCTTGTGCCTGTATACAGTATTTCTTTAGGTCTTGATCTCTTGGCAAACTGAATATGAGAACCAGTCTCTCTCTATTAATTCTATTACCTTTCTGAAATGTCTACCACGACTGCCAGTATCTTCTTCCCATAAATACCAGAGTGTGCAACAACAGAATCAACATAGACCACTGTGTCTTGGGCAACACGCTTTAGAACTTTAATAATTATACTATTAATTGAAAATGTTTCTATGCTTCTTTAGAAATATTAAAAATCCATTTATATAGAACTACTAAAAAAACAAGAAATGCAAGGCAAGTACAAGATGAGAGTAGAACATCTTGTTCTGTAAGAAAGTAAGGAAGCTCTCAAAAAATGACAGGGAAATGTCAAAAGGGCACAGGAGCCAGACTGAAGGGGCCTCCTCTGGCCAAATCTGAGACAATTTAAGCATAAAAATAAAGACAGTAATAGAATATTTATGGAGTAAGAATTATGAGACCATACTGATAAATTAGAAAAATAATAAAATGAGAAGGGAACACTCTCCATTACAATAAGGAAATAAACGTAGAAAGAGAAAATGATCACTTTGTAACAGTCTTAGTAATCACTGATTCAGTCAAAAAGCATCAGTGAATACTAAAACTAGTGTTTTAGCAACAAAAGTCTGATGAGGACCAGGATATTTACATAGACCCAAGAGTGTCTTCCCCACAAATTAGTTATTAATTACAAAGGGGAAAATAGTAACTTTACAACGATTAACCTAGCAAGAATAACTTTAAACAAATTATCAAAGATAACAATGCCAATAACAGGACAAATTCCTGTTGTATCCCTGAGAATACATCATCACTTGCGGGGCATTCTTGTCAAATACACACAACTTGAATCAAATATGAGGAACCATCACACAATACCCAACTTGCAGCCACTTCACAAAATAACTGACCTGTACTCTTCAAAAATGTCAAGATCATGAAAGGCAAAGAAAAGCTGAGGAACTATTCTAAATTAAATGAGACTAAAGAAATATGACAACCAATTGCAAAGTGTGATCTTGGAATGGACTCTGAAAGAACAATATTGGGACAACTGGGAAAATGTGAATATGAACTTTGGACTAGATTAGTAGTGTTGTATTTCCTAATTGTGATGAATTTATTGCAGTTATGTAAGAAAATGCCCTTGTTTGAGGAAATACAAACTGAAATATTTACAAATAAAGTGGCTTGATGATACCAGCAAAACCTCAAAAATGCCTACATTGTAAATACATTGGGGTAACAGAAATGTGTGAATACCTAAAAATCCCCAAATTCTTTAATTTGTTCGTTAGTTTACCACTGGAACTGAGAGTCTGTATTTGAAGCCTAGATAAATATTTAAACCAGATCATATGACTGGTCTGTAAATAGAACTGATTCTAGTTCTTGGTTCTCCAGGAACTAGACAGGTGTTCCAAATGTACTTTCTTTCCTTTCTACTTCCCCCTACCCTCATCAATAAAATCTGGCCCCTCACCTCTCTCTTGTGGCCCTTGGAGCACTGGAGATTTCTGCTGGGTTGCCACAGGTTGGAGCTGAGTATCTGGAGACTTTGGTGCAGATTCTGAATGCACCAACTCCTCCCACATTACCCTATGTCCATGTGCACGCGCCGGGACCTGGAAACAATGGGACAGTTGCATTACAAGGCACCCCTTTGAGAAATGAAGTGAACAATGTAAGATGACCAAGAGCACATCTACAGGGATACATGCTTGGGGAAGGGAGAAGCAGAGTCTCATTTACTTCCTAGGGGCAGTAAGGAACACAAATATGTTGATTACCATAGAAAGGCATCATTTTTGCTCAGTACTGACGGGAAAGATTTCTGCTAATGCCCTCCCTGATGCACACAACATCAATATTTTGCACTCTCAGGGCTGGCCCGGTGGCACAGCGGTTAAGTTCGCACGTTCCGCTTCTCAGTGGCCCGGGGTTCGCAGGTTCGGATCCTGGGTGCAGACATGGCACCGCTTGGCACGCCATGCTGTGGTAGGAGTCCCAGATATAAAGTAGAGGAAGATGGGCACAGATGTTAGCTCAGGGCCAGGCTTCCTCAGCAAAAAGAGAACTGGCAGTCGTTAGCTCAGGGCTAATCTTCCTCAAAAAAAAAAAATAAGTAAAAGTAAAGAAAAAAATATTTTGCACTCTCAAGGCAGGAGGAGGAGAATGATAAACAGAAACTTAAAGCAGTGCTATTCAGTGGAAAAAATTTTTGATAAAGAACTAGGAAACCTGAGTTCTGGTCTCAGATCTACCTTTAGTTATTTGGGTGCCCCTGAAAAAGTAACTTAAGTTCTCTGTGCATCAGTTTCCCTTCTGGCAAACAGGAACAATAAGTTGTAGAGATGTTCTGAGGATAACATACGGATTTACATCCTTTACAAAACTAAAAAGAACTCTACAAATACAAGCCATACTATACTACAACTGTTTTCATTCTCCTATAACAGAAACTCGTGCTCAGCATTTACTTCCATGGTGGTGCCAATGTCCCCCCACCCAGCTTCCAGGACTCCCACAGTCACAGCATGCACACCTCCTTCTACTTACTGGCCGTCCTAGTATATCAATCTGCCTTTCCAAATCCTCCAATAGCGTGACCACCTCCTCTCCGTTCTCGAGCTGATGTTCCTTAACCAGAGTCTGGAGATCCTCAGGCAGGATGGTCAAGAACTGCTCCAGCACTAGCAGCTCCAAGATCTGCTCCTTGGTATTCAAATCTGGCCTCAGCCACTGATGGCAAAGTGCCCGGAGTTGAATAAGAGCTTCTCGGGGTCCTAGTGTCTCTTGGTAGCATAACTTTCTGAAGCGCAGGCGGAACAGCTCTTGGCCAGGAGGGTTATTTTCATGTAGACTTGATTCCTGGTCCCAACCATGATCTTCCTCCACCTTAACAATTACAAGATCCTCTTCAGGAGCCTGGTCTGGAGGGGATGGGGCTAAAGACTTTCTTGATTCTGCAGCCATTTAGGGCCGGAAAAGCTCAGGAGGCTCGTTTCCACTACCTTCTTATAATCTTCTTAAGAGAAGACCCTTCCGAGGGTCTCTTCTTTAAAGATACTCCTTGGGGAAAATAACAAATAGTGTTAAGGCAAGTCAAAGGTCATAATAATTTACTAAGATATCTTATCAGGCTCCCTACCATGATGTGGACTTCATGGCTCAGGCATTTAAGTGATCCTCTTCACTGTTTCAGAAGTAACTCCTTACCTTCTAAGCCTTCTGCCACACCAAACCTTTCTGAGGAATAACCCCTTCCTTCTGCTTTCTCTCTTTAAGGACGTGGAATAGGGCTAAACAAAGTCAGGAAACCATGTAGATTGGGTCTAATTAAGAAAGCATGCATTTAACCTCAGCTGGCCCTCAGTGCTGCTTATTTAACTCTTTTCAGCGTTTGCTACACCAGCTGTACTGTTTCTTCACACTTCAGCTCTCAACTTGACCCTCACTTTCAACAAAAGAGACCAATTTCCATATAATTTAGCTCAAGGTATCATCAAGAACTGTCCTAACACATTCCTCTTCTCCACCTAACATTCATTCCTATCTGTGCTCCTCATCTTCCCTCCTGTCTCAAGGTGAACTTCTATGGACCCTCTTATCTTAAAGCTCTACAACTCTCTTTGCAGCATTGGTTTTCCATCTCCAAGGAACCTGGATGCCCTATCAACACCTATAACACAAAAGTCTAGTCTAACACACTAATGACCTTCCAGAATGTTTTATAAATAAAATCATACAGTATGTAGCCTTTTGAATCTGGCATCTTTCACTTAGCTAAGTACATTTTGAGATCATCAATGTTGTCGCATGTATCAGTAGTTTATTCCTTATATGGATGTACGTTTCCTTATCCATTCCTCAGGTGAAAAGATTTCTTAGTTGTTTCATTTTTGATGATTACAAATAAAGCCACTACGAACATCTGCATATGACTTTCTTGTGAACAGTTTTTGTTTCACACGGGTAAATATCCAGAAGTGAAATTACTGGGTCATATGGTAAGTGCATGTATAACTTTGTAAGAAACTGCTGAACTGTTTTCCAAAGTGGCTATAAAACTTTCTATTCCACTAGCAAATATGTGAGAATTGCTGTTGTTCCATATCCTCATCAACATTTTTTTTTCTAAATTTTAGATATTCTAATAGGTGTGTAGCGGTATCTCACTATGGTTTTAATTTGCATTTCCCTACTAATAATGTTGAACATCCTTTCATGTGCTTATCTGCCATCCATATCTTCTTTGGTGAAGTATCCATTCAAAATTTTTGCCTATTTTTTTAATCAGGGTTTTTTTTAATTATTATTGAGTTTTAAGAGTTCCTTACATACTTTGGATACAAGTCCTTTACGAGATATGTGATTTGCAAATATTTCCTCCTTTTCATTCTTTTAACAGTGCCTTTCAAAGAACAGAAATCCCTAATTATTTTGAAGTTTGTGATTTTTTTCTTTAAGGGATTGTGCTTTTGGTGCCATATCTAAGAAATCTTTGCTTAATCCAAGACCACGAAGATTTTCTCCTGTTTTCTTCTCAAAGTTTTATGGTTTTAGGTTTTACCTTTAGTTTTATGATCCATTTTGAACTAATTTTTGTATAGAGCTTGAGGTACGGAGGGAGGTTCATTTTGTTACATACAGATACAAAGTTGTTCCAGCACCATTTGCAGAAATGATTATCCTTTACCCATTGAACTGTCTTTGTATCTTTTGTCAATCAATTGACCATATGTGTGTGGGTCTATTTCTGGAATCTCCATTCTGTTCCATTGACCTATATGTTTACCCTTTTATTAATATAAAACTGCCTTGATTATTGTGGCTTTTAAAATCTTGAAATCTGGTACTAAGAGTCCTGCAACTTTGTTGTTCATTTTCAAAATTGTTTTGGCTTTTCCACTTCCATTGCATTTTGATATAAATTTTAGAATTGGCTTCTTCATTCCTACAAAAAAATCCTGGAATTGGATTTATGTGGAATCTACAGCTCAGTTAAGGGACAACTGATATCTTAACAATATTGAGTTTTCCATCCCATAAACACGATACATCTCTCCATTTATTCGTCTTCTCCGACTTCTTTCATTAGTGCCCAAACTACCTATTCTAAAAGGACAAGATAAAATGCTTTCTCCTTTAAAATCCTTTTTTGATGACTCCAATCGGAAGTGACTTCCCTCTTACACTATAGTTCTTAAATGTGTACTACTTTAATGTTACTTTTCCCATAATTGTGTATTATTAGTTGGAAAAGAGTTCTGACTTCCTAACTTAACTGTACGTTCCCCTTGAGTAGAGGTCTATATCTTCTATCTTATTGACAGAATTGAAGAACATCAGAGGGCCATTATTTACAATACTTAACAGAGAATGTATCTATGTTTGTCGAAGAGTGAGGTTTAGATACAAGACCTGAGGTCCACAGAGTTCAATTACAGAGTTCCATTTCTTTATGGGATTTCCGTCCATGGCTTTTGTCTTTGGTATCGGACCTCTCTCTCACTGCAGCTGCAGTGTTAAGCGGTCTTCCAGCTTTTGGTTATGCTTTTCTCCCATTCGTGTTCTGCAAAGCTGCCTGTTGTGGGTTGAAATATGTCCCCAAAAATGACATGTTGAGGTCCTAACCTCTTGTACCCGTTAATGTGACCTTATTTAGAAATAGGGTCTTTGCAGATATAATCAAGTTAAGATGCTGTTATACTGGACTAGGGTGGGCCCTTAATCCAGTATGACTGGCGTACTTTTAAGAAGAGGAGAAGATACACAGAGATCGACACACAGAAAGAGAAGGCCACGTAAAGACACAGACACAGAAGACAGCTATGTGACTACAGAGACAGAGAGGGAGTTAGGCAGCTATAAGCCAAGGAATGCCAAGGATTACCAGTAACAACCAAGAAGCTAGGAGAGCGTGGCCCTGCCAACACCTTAATTTGGACTTTTGGCCTCCATAGTTGTGAGAGAATAAATTTGTTGTGTTAAGCCATCCAATTTGTGGTACTTTGTTACAGTAGTCCTATGAGACTAATATACTGCCAGAGACTGTTTTAACAAATATGTAATATCACTCACCTCCTAAAAATCTTTCAACAGGAAACCCAACTCTTCAACATGGTATGCAAGGCCCTTTATGATATGTAAACCTGCCTAACTTTATCTGCTATAAACTCACCTTCATAAAGCATATAGCATTCAAACTCATTTCCAAATGTGTTTTCCTCACACCTACATTCTGCTGCAGAGCTCTTTACTGTAGCTCAGTGGTTCTCAATAGGGAGTAATTTTGCCCCCCTCTCTCAGAGACATTTGGCAATGTCTGGAAACATCTGCCACAACTGAGGAGAGGGGGTGCCACTAGTATCTAGAGTAGAGGCCAGAGATGCTACTAAACCTTTTACAATGCATAACATAGCCCCCCCAAAACAAAGAGTGATTTGGCCCAAAGTGTCAATGCCAAGGAATCCTGGTCTAGCTGAAACCATTCAACTCTAACTTAAAAATCTCAGCTTACCTATTACCTTTTTCATGAGGTCTTCTCTGTCATCCCCACCCAACACCTGCCCCTCCCCAAGCAGATTAAAGTGCTCATTCTTGCCAAGGTATTTTCTACACCATCCAAATACAGGATTTATCACATTGTGTACAGTACTGTAAATGTCTGCCGTGGCCATGGTTTTCCTGCAAATGTTTGTGGCAGTGACCTTTTCCTTTGTATCTCTTTTTAGGCAGGGAAGCTATATATTTGTATGCCAAAAAGATCACAATGGCAGCTTTGTAGACCATGGGTTGGAGAAAAATGTAATTGAAGGCAGCACTGTAGAGAACGAAGAAGAGCATAACAAAAGGTAGCATGTCCAAAAGTAGTTGGCAAGAGATGCTAACACCAAGGTAAAACCATAGACCTATAGTCCACAAAGGAAAAGAAAAGATAGGCAATCAGAAGGAAAATCAGATTACACATAGTGCCTGACATGCATCTGCAAAGCAGTGCCTCTATCTTTCAGAGTTTTTTGGGGCGAAGGCAGGGTGGAGTTGGTTCACAGTCTCTTCCATCTAATGAAAACACAGAACTTCTCCCCAGAAAAAAGCCCACAGGCACAAAAGTTTACATTCAATTTCAGTAGAGTTTATAGACCTGACACCCATCCAAGAATTCCAGGAAGGTTAAGAACCCCTACTTAGAGAGTGTGGACAGAAAAGGAAGGGAATTTGAAAACTGTCTTTAAAATTAGACAAGGCTGGGAACAGTATGGGGAGTAAAATACAGACAGGAAAAACCAAGAAGCACGAGCTAAGATTAAATATGGTGATTCACATCACAGGGTTTAATTCATGGGTGATGACTTTATAGAGAAGTGGGGGGATTTCCTGGAATAGTGAAATTTTGAGGGGAGAATGAATTTGGGCAAGAGGTTGAGATTTTGTGGAGGGTATGAGACAAGGGGTAATCAATTTTGTTTTGAACAGACAAGATTAACATTCATAGTTTTAAAATAATTTATTTTGAAAATCAATTAAAATTTAATAAATTCCTAAATTTTCTTACAATAGCTATTTATGGTTTAAAAGCTTAAAAGGTCATTACTATGGGACAAATTCTAAGCTCTAATTGTCTAGAATGTGATGCTGCACAGTCATTGTTTTACCCTGTTTTCTTATGAATTTCCTCAAAGCCAAGGTTCGTCTTTATCTGCTGAACAACTGGCCATCTTCTGTCTTATAATCAATCCTCGTCAATACGAGCTATAAAATACTTCAATGCTAAGTGTGCACCATTCAAGAACTTTATATTGCTGACATATTAAAACATTAAATCAATATATTAATATCATCATAATAAATGATATTAAATAACGTCTCAACAGTGAAACTGATGGAAGTCATCTAATTATCAGGTTCATATTTTATACCAAATCAGCCAACAGATCTCCTCCATTCCCCATCTTGATTATTCTTTTTAGTAGCTAATTTTCCATGTTTTATTTTCTTCCCTGGCCAATCACACAGTTTTGGACAACTGCAACCTATAACAAACCAAGTACAAAGATATATACTACAAATTAGTCCACTATGTATCCTCCTCTCAAATAGTTTTGTGTATACACTTGTGTATTAAGTAGGTAAGCATACTGGATAAAAACTGTTTTTTACATCCTCTTTTAATACCTAGTCAAGTTTACTGATTTAGTAAGCTCAAGCAGTCAATCTTTAAAGCTTCTTGCCATCTCAAATGCGATAATCCTGTGGACTACTAAAGGCACAACTCAGCTTTTAACAACATTATTTTTTCAACAGATGAAGAAAGAATGTTTTTTCTTCCTTCAGACTAAGTTTAATTTGGGATGTTTGGGAACTGAAAACAAAACAAACAAAACAAGAAAGATATTTTCCAGGCTTTAAAGATCAAGAAAAGGTAGGTGAAGCAAATACTGTGCTTTATCGTTATCTCAAACCTCTAAGCTGAACGTTTTAACATCTACCACATTTTACACTTAACCACAAGAAAAATTCAAAATATGTGTGTATTTGCTAAAACAATGATTACTGCATAAATATACTTAACTGAACTAATCAAACAACAGAAATATCCAGTGTTTTTAGAGGTGGTGGTGGCCGTCTTCATGTTGCCTGACAAAAATTACTCATGAGTGACCTGAGTTTTGGAAATGGGGCCCCTCCTAAAGAGTTCCCAGGCATCTATTTCAGTTAGCTTTAATAAACGAAGTAAGCTGAATAAGGTTGAATTCTGTATTACCTTGAGGTGGTCAAAAATGTTTCTTTTGTACAATTATCCAGTCAACACACCACCATTTTCTGTATACACTACAAAGCGTAGAATAACTTAAGAGCAAAGATACGTTTCCGTGGATAAGTGGGGCTTCCAAAAGCAAATCAGATCTTTCTTTTTTTAAAAAAGCGACAATTTTACTGTGAAAAATGCAAAATTGCTAAGTAAAAACAACTGAGATGGTGGAAATAGTTGGGTAAAAGATAACGTGGGGGCGTTTTACTATCTTAACATAAATAAGTTCAACTGCAAATAACACTATAAAACGATTAGCCATGAAGAAAGAGAACGCCAATAAAAGGTTCCCTAGCAAAAAGTTTGGGGTCGCGGACTCGGCCTGCGCCGGCAGCTAAAGCGGCCAGGGACTCCGACCTCGGCTCGGGCCCCTCTCCAGACCCCTCAGGCCTGTCCTCGGCTGCGGCCTGGTCTGGCCACAAAGCGCTCCCCTTCCCCCGGCCCAGAGCCCCAAGCGTACTCACCGTGAGTTCCAGGGGCTGCCCAGGGTGGGGAAGGGAGACTGGCAAGGGTGGGCGCACCTGAGGAAGGGCGGGGAGAAAACGGGTCGAAAGCTGTAATCGGGCCAGGCCCCTCCAGCCCCTATACTTCCAAACCTGCGGCGGCACAACACCGGCCAACACGCATCTTGCCCCACAGGCACTTCCGGAAGCTCTCTAGGAATCCTGGAGGTCTGAAAGCTCTATGGTCGGCCGACAGCGGGGACGGAGGGGCTACGCCCCTCTTAGGCGGTAGGCGGTGCGCCGGATTCCTCCAGTGTGTGCGCGCCGCAGGGTTGCACGACTACAGGGCACCATGAACGTCCTGAGGAATAACGGACCTTTGTGTCATCTCTGCCCCGCGCAGGGGGCCCGCTCTGCGCGCTCGCTGGCGCTGGCGAGGGTAACGGTCCCCACGGGCCGGTCGGCAGGCGTGCGGAGCCCAGGACTGGGAACAGGAGGAAGCTGGGAAGGCGGTGGAGAAGGGTGCACTTTTAAGGATTCTTGTGATGCTAATTATCTGGACCTCGCGTTTGGCCAGGTTAGATACCCCTGTACTTTTCTGTTCTCTCTTCATAAATATTTCCAGTCCTCCAACATAGACTGCAAATTTCTTGAGGAATTCCTGTTAATCGTAGTTCATGGTTTTTAAAAGCTTCTATGGCACCTAGTAATAGTACACTTTATACTGTTAAGTATTCAAAAAAAAATTGTAATTGAATATAAATTCTTTTCGAATCCTTACATATTTTCCACCGTGTCCTATCTTAACGAATTGCAATCTCATAAAAACCTGCGTTTTCAGCTTAGCTTTCTTTTTGCTTGAGGAAGATTAGCCCTGAGCTAACATCTGTGCCAATCTTCCTATGTTTTGTGTGTGGGTCATTGCTGCGGCGTGACTGACAAGTGTAGTAAGTCCGCACCCGGGAACCGAACCCGCGAACCGGGACTCTGAAGCCGAGCGCGCAGAACTTAACCACTAGGCAACCGCTGCCTCTCGACTCTAGTTTTAATACCACAAAATTTGGGAAACAAATCTATGTTCATTCTTTATACCCGTTGTATTAAAGTTTTAACTTTCAGACTAAATAGGATTTCAGGGGTGGTGGTTGTGGGAAATGTCTTTTATTTTTGTTGTTGTTTTGATCCCACGTTTTTATTCCTTCAGCACTTTTACTAACCACCCATTTATTCTGAGTACTCAGGTGCCCCTCCAATCTTCACCGTAATTTCCCCTCTTTATCTGTTCCTTCTAATAGCCACCAACAATATTTTATCCAGTCCCCAACCCTAACCCAAAAATATTTTGCCCACCCACCAAGATCAAATCTTAGTGGTTTTGATTTGTTTTTAAGTGTTTTGTCATCTAATCATCACAACAAAATAAGTAAATAACAACATCAAGAAGTTACAGATTCTTTCAAGATTCTTTCAAAGCGCTTATTTTTGCTCTTTATTTCATAGCTCCTGCCTCTTTGCTGGGATGGTTACTGGAGGTAACTGGGAACAGACTAGAACTCTGCTCTTGGTTTCTTTTTTTACTTAAGAAAATAATTTTTTAAAACCAAAGTTGTACGTATAGGTAGTTTAGAAGTAAAATAGTGTTATGAGCTAGGCAAAGATTTCTCAAAAGGCACTAATAATACAAAATTGATAAATTTGACTTCATCAAAATTTAAATCTTCTGCTCAACAAAAAGGACCATTAAGAAAGTGAGAGGAGATGCTACAGACTGGAAAACATTTGCAATATATATTTCTAACAACTGGTATCCAGAATATATAAAGAACTTTCACACCTTGATCATAAGAAGACAAACCAACATAAATAGGCAAGTGATTTGAACACATACTTTACAAAAGAAGATAAATGAATGGCCAGCAAGTACATGAAAAGGTAGTCAATATCAATATACATCAGGAAAATATAAAATTAAAATGATAATGAGTTATCACTACACATCCATTAGAATGGCTAAAATTAAGGTGACTGACAATACCAAGTGCTAATGAGGATATGAAGCAACTAGAACTCTTATACACCACTAGTGGGAATGTAAAATGGCATAATTTGAAAAACATAATGACCCAGCAGTCTCACTCCTAGGTATTTACCTAAGAGATGTGAAAACATAAGTCTACAAAAAGAATGTTCACGTCAGCTTTATTCATAATAGGCCAAAACTGGAAAATGTTCATCCACAGAAGAATAGAGAATCAAATAGTGTTGTGTTCATACAGTGGAATACTAATCAGAAGTAAAAAGGAGCTACTGACAAATGAACAATGTGGACGAATCTCCAAAATATTATGCTGAATAAAAGTAGCCTTATGATAACATACGTTCAAGAGCAAGTAAAATTAATCTGTGGTGACAGAAGACAAGAAGTATTTACCCTTGATTGAGGTTGTGGTTACGTGGTTGCATACATATGTAAAAATTCATTGAGCTGCACATCTGATTTGTGCATTTTATTAATAAAAATAAAATTTAAAAATGATTAAAATTAAATAGTACTCTCAGATTTATGGTGTGAAAGACAGCACGCCTCACTCCTCTCATCCCCATCAAAATCTATTTCCCAGAGACAACTACATTAACTCTTTCCTTTTTTGTTATTAACCTCTATATTTATAAATAACATGCTAACACTGCCATTTCTTGATTTTTCATGTATAGGTAATATGCATTTTCTGTTGACTTCTTACTATGGAAAATAAGCACTTAACCCTTTTAAACCACTACTTGGATTAGCCACACCAGGTATTAGAGGACACATTTTAAACTTCCTAGAGTTGCTAGGTCCCACAACAATAGCAGCCCCATCAAAGTACAAAAAGAAGTTAGACTCTGGTTACGTGTACTTTCCCTATTTGTATAAGCAGGGGACACATTTCTAATAAGACTCCAAATATTTTCCACACCTAGGGCCTCAAAGGTGTTCCCAGATTCTCCTAAGTTGCTCTGCATTTTAGCTTCAGAAGGACTGCTTCATATATATTATATGACTATCACAGTAATTCTCCAATATTTTGGTCATGACTCCTTTTATGCTCTTAAAAAGTAGTAAGGACTTCAGAGAGCTTATGTTTATGTGGGTCATATCTATTGAGATTTTCTGTGTTTCACATTAAAACGGAGGAATTAAAAATATTTATTCCTTAAAATAACAATAACAACCTATTACATGTTAAGTAACATATTTTATGAAATTTAACTATATTTTCCAAAACACAGTAAGTTAGTGAAAGGGGTGGAATTATTTCACCTTTTTGCAAATCTTTAATGTCTGTCTTAATAGAAGGTGGCTGGATTCTCATATCTGCTTCTTTCTTCAGTATCACACTTTTGCTCACACTTTCCCCTCTTCTAGAAGTGTAGTTCCTCCTACTCTCTCCATTTACCTAAACCCTGTACATCTTCAAGGTCTTGCTCAAATTTTGCTTTAATCAGAAAGCCTTCTCTAAGAATCTAAAAGTGGGGTGTGTAAAAATGAGAAAATGGGAGAAAGGGTGGTAGAGAGGCAAGAACATGGCTTGTTTCAAGTTCAAGTTGGAAGAGTAATATATATATATCTACTTCCTCCCCCTCCCAAGAACCTACTTAAATGACTGAAAAACTAAAAACTAAAAAAACAAGGACATACATAAATAACAGTGCTAGAAAACAAAGAGGGGACCAGAAATTTCAAGGAATTTCTGGAAAAGAATAAATAATTGGGATAGGATTGTTGGAGAAGCAGAGATAATTGCCATGCAAGACACCAAGGCCAAGTGTCCATCTCCAGAGGAAGCCTGGAGAAGTTCTAACCTCGGAATCAGCAGTTGCACAGGGTAAGGGTGGGTCATTCATTTAAGAACTGCATTTGGGACAGTTGGATATCTTCCCTTTCTCACTGGTATCTCTGGGGCCCCCGTCCTCTAGCTATGGCTTGATACCTGCTTTCTAAAACAAATGGGAGGGCTCTTATTAAGAAAACTGAGGCCTAAGAAAGAAGCATAGCAAAATTTGAGATGACTCTAGACCTCTACAATAGAACAAGGAGGAGGAAAAATACAGACAGCACTGCCTAGGAGTGAAGTGCATTGAAGCTCTCCACCCCAGAGAAGGCGGTTCTCATTTTTGGTAATTGTGTAGGTCCCCAAGCCTGTCTGCTTGCTCCCTGTTCACTCCCTCTAAAGGAAGGCCTGTCTGCAGAAGCAGCCTCCTACGTCTTCAGTGGAAACTCACACTACCTAAGTTAACCAGCACAGGACTCCATTTCTAAATATAAACAGGCACCAAACATCAGAAAACATTTAATGAAAATCAAGAGCAGAGCATGAAAGAAAAGGGTTAAGAGTAACAAAGAGATCTGACTCTCAGAAGAAACAGACAATTCAGGGAACAGAAGAAAACTTTAAATACATGAGCTGGGGAATGAATGCTGAAGACTTGCTTGGCAGATTGCTTCTAGGCAAATGAGTATATAAGTATTTAATCCATGCTGCCCTAAACAGAAATGATGGATTAATATACACAAGGAAATAAAAGACACACATAGGCTAAAATATTCTATGGATCTCTATTGATCAGAAACAGAATAAAAGTGCAAAACAGTGAGCAGGGCCAAAGTTGCAGACTTGATGGATAGGCCTGCTGGGCTAAGGATGCCAAGGGCACAGGCCCAGCTTTGCAGCTAGGAGCTGACTCCAGTCATCTACTTGATTTGAGATTGGTGTTGCCGTATCCCTGATATTACTGCAGAGTGGTGACTCTAAACTGCTATTATGAGATCTGGCTTTGATCTAGGGAGTCCCATGGTCCAGATGGAAGCAGCTTTAAATCAAATCCAGGGTGGGAGGTGGTAGTGAGTAGAGAGAGGAAGGGAAGGTACATAGGTGTATACATTGACGCAAAGTCATAAAAGTTTGAGATAGGGATTGACCAAAAGGAGAGAGAAGCTGGAAACAGAGAATAGCCTATTCCATTGATAACAGCTCCAAGTGGAAGGTGGGGGAAGACTGGATCCAAGGATGTTGTTTGGGGAAGTATTATATAGGGTCGATGAGCCAGGGAGTTAGGCAAACACGAGTGACAAAAGGCATGGGAAAGAATCTCAGGAAAGTAATGCAAAGAACCAAAAGAAAAGACAGAAGAAAGATAGGGTGACAGCAGGTGGGATG